TCTCTCTCACTCACTCATTCATTCTCTCTCTCTCTCTCTCTCTCTCTCTCTCTCTCTCTCTCTCTCTCTCACTCACTTTCTCTCCCTCATGCTCTCTCACTCACTCACTCACTCAGTCTCTCTTTCACTCACTCACTTCTACAGTAAACATTACTATCTTTTTGGCTATGCTCAGACTGCCAGCCCAAATCCGATTTTTAGGCACATCCAGATTGTGTCCGGATTGATTTTTGATAGTCAACAGAAAATCATATGAAATCCAATTTTTACACAGATCCAAACCACATTTGGAGGTAGTTTGAAATGCGACTTCAGTCAGATTCTGATTTTACAGATGTGTCTCAGTCCGGATGTTTTAGCTGCTCAGTCCGGATTTCAAAGTGTCTGAGTCACTCGCCAAGTGACAAACGACAACGATGTCAAATCCAGAGTAACGGAAGTGCTGGGATTGAAAAGGAGCTCCAAAGATTTATTATCATGCCAGAGAGTTTTGAAGAGTGATGCACCTCCGTCTTCCCCGCATCCGCATTTGAAATCCACGTCACCAGCTTATCGGCCACCAATGCAGATAGACTGGTGATGTCTGGACGCACAAATCCGAACTGATCACTTGCAAATAACAGTGTTGACAGTCGTCTCAAAAGATCTGGTTTGAGAAACAAATCCGATTTGTCTGCAGTCTGAACGCAGCCTGTGTCTTGTATATTTGTAAAGCATCCTAAAGCAGATCGTTCCATACGCTGTTTTTATCCTCCCCGGACGACTGGATGGCGTGAATCTGGTGGCGTTTATCTACTAAACTATTACCTCAGTGTGGCAATTTGACTACACTGTACGTAATATAAGCATTTATCTTATGTGGGATGTTCTGCTTTGTGGCATTCACTGGGCCAACATTAGCCTCTTATTTGTAGCGAGAGCAGAACTCGATTGCTTTAGTTTAGTTTAGTTTGTGTATTATTGGTGTGTCGCAGTGAAACACGTCTGCTTTTGCATTTCATGCGTTGTAGTGCGCTGTGACTTTTGTGGGTCTTAGTTTTTTTGACTTTGTCTCCATTTGCACCACTATCATGTCCAGTTCTGTTGGGTTGGATAGTAACCGAGTACGTGTAATGGTGAGAGTAAATGGCATTTGGACGGTAAATAAAGTCGTCAACGTTTTTTGTAATTGATGTAATCGCAGCCCTAAACTCGCCCCTATTCTCTCCCTCTCTCAAACTCACCCTGACATGGCTTCGACCAGAGGAATGTGCGGAATGTTGGTACCCCTCCGAACGACGTTCAGCCTACCTGCTACACGCTCACACCGGCCTGCGGAGAGACTGACTGGCCTCAGCCAGAATTAGTTCTTCAGAAACTGTCATCTGACTCTGCAGCTCTGCAGCCCTAAAAGGTGTTTGTGCTTGTAGAGATGAACGATTTCAGGAGTGATTATGAAAATGTATGAATTTGTAAGGATTTTAAGTCTCAGCAGAAGCACATATGATGTTCACACCATCCACACAGACCTCCAGACAGATTGCAGTGCTAATGCACAACAATGCAGTGTATCGCTGTTGTCAGAAGAAAATCTCCAACACGGTAACTTTACAGGAGAAGGAAAAAACCTACTTTACTTTTAATGTAAGTCAATGGAACCAGAATTTTTTTCTAGTACTTTTGGGCCGTTTCTTTTGGTTAATTCAAAAATGGGGATACGAGGTTTTCTTCCGACAGCAGTGATATATGTATATGTATGTATATCACCTCTGCTGCAAAGAAATCTTAGTGACCCAATCCCATTTCTTCTTTTTACCCCTACCCCTTGTTTTCGAGTGTCTCCTTGCCCCTTGGAACTGAGTTATAAGGGGTAGTGGTTGAAATCTTCCCTCTGAAATGGGACCCTCAAATAAAAAGAGCATCACTTCATTAACAGCTACCAGCGCTGCTCTGTAGGCGACCCTGCCAGTCTGCAGTGACAGCAGAGGAGGGTAAAGTTCAGCTCCTCACTTCTGGGCTTAGTTACATTTAGGGAATCATATGCCTTCAAAGAGGGGCAATTATTTATTATCACCCAACCCTTGTTCGAATTTTCCCGTTCCACCTTAAATGGAGGAGCAGTTACATTCTGGCGGCTCAAGCATCAGAACGGCTGCACCATTTAAGGCGGAACGGGAAATTTAGCTAGCTAGCCATCGAGACATCAGCTACTACTAGCGACCAACAATGGTTTTTTTTAACAGAGAAAATTTTCTCGTAACTCTCTGTTTGGAGTCTCTGAAAAACCTCCGTTTGGAGGGTCATGTAGCCCCAACACTTCACCCTACCCCTCTCAACTAGAATCGGGACACCCTACCCCTAGATGTGAGTGCGCAGAACAGAGGGCTAGGGCTCAGTGGTAGGGGCGAGGGGTGAAATGAGATTGGGCCTCAGACTTCACTATCAGCCATTTCACATTGAATCTACAGGACTGTAATTTTAACCGTGGCTCATTTCAGCTGGAGTTAGAGAGATGAGCCTGGATTAGCCACGACTGTTCCGCGGCGGAGTGTCCAGTGGCGTCAGTGTCTTGCTGTGGGGCAGTTTAGGGCACCTCGCTCTCTTTTCCTGCTCTGTTTGTTCAAACTCAGTGTGCCAGTTTAGAGAAACCTCTCTTTCTGTGAACACCTGCCACTGTGTGTGGTTCTAGAGGGAGTGTAGTGTGCGATTGTTTGCTCAGTGACTTGTCTCTCCGCTCTGTTTACGTTGTACCGCTTCTGTCTGTGTGTTTGTGTCTTTCTCTCCTGTGGGCGTCCAGCATTACTTACTCCTGGGGCCGAGGGGAGTAGACTCATCTCATGTGTCTCACGCAGAGATGCCTGACCTGCCACACGGCTCCCCACCAAACTGCAGTTAAAGTGTCTGAGACAGGGTTATATACAGCAGCTTCCATAGACCAGCTATCATCTGCTGCTTATAGCAACAGGCACCGAAATAGATGAACTGGAGGAAGTGAGAAGAGCTGAAAGTGTTTTTTACAGTCTGCGCTGCTACTTTTTAAAGGGGAAGTGCACTTTATTCCAGAACATTTCTGCATAAATGAGCGGTCGAGATGTAAACAAGGTCATTCAGCGTGGTTTGGTGTGAAATAGTTCAGGCTTCTTTACAGTGGTGGTGATAGGAACCAGGGGTCGCCATGACTACAACACAGATATAGCCATTTTATTTACTATCCAAAACCACCAGTGAACCTACACAAGTCTTCTGAGCTTTTCTGTGTAATGTTGAAGATGGTAAAATAGTGATAAATCTGAAAAAATAAGTTTTCTTTGGGGACTATTTTGCGTCACAACACTCTGCATGTACCCTTCCACCATGTATGGATTCTTAAAATCTCAAATCTATCATAAAATAATGTTTCAGATATCAAGCGGCGTTTTTAAAATCATTTCTTGTATTATCTTTCTGTGAGGGAGCTTTTAGAGGTGGACGTCTGGTTCCTATCACCACCACTGTGAACAGATTCTGACTCGGTAAGTTTCTCTAGAACAGAGCGTTTCACACCAAACCGCTCTGAACGAACTTTGTTTAGTGCTCAATGATTGAGCTGACCAAAAATGTCAAAATGTCGTTGGTATTCCCAAATTAGCCGCAGTGACGCTAGATATTTGCAGTTCTTTGGGCCAGAACATTGTAGACAAAATAGTCACCCATATTAGTGCAGTTAGCAGGCTGGCTAATCATACACAGTAATGTCACAAAAGTAAACAAAATGTTATACTCACTAGAGTACAGTGCTGCACACTGACCTGTAGAGAACTGCTGTGGTTGGTGACACTGAGGTGACTTGTGTGCAGCTGCACTTAGCCAGGGAGCTAACACAGCAGTTAGCAAGCTGGCTAACTCACCTCTCACCTACCATATATAGTAAAAACACAAAGAAGAACATAATGATCACAGATATAACAGTGTACTTGCCGCAGCATAGTGCAGCTCACAGATCTGTAGCATAAAGAGTGTAGATAACTGGTGTGGTTGGTGAGTGAGGTGAGTTACGTGCAGCTGCAGTTAGCCGTGAAGCTAACATTGCAGTTAGCAAGCTGGATAGCTCGTCTAAAACGAACAGTGAAAACACACCTGACTGCGTATCATACAGTCTGTCTTTCATGTGTTTATTAATAGTCAGCGAGGAAGAAATGTTGAAAGGTTTGTGTTTAAACACGGCTAATATTAGCATTTTCTGTATTTTGGAGGTTCAGTGCTGCTATATGAAGCCCCTCCTGAGGAATCTCAGCTAACTTGCCACACTTGCTCAGCGGAACTCTGCTCACTTTTTGCCTTTTTTATCTTAATTAAATAGAATTTTCTGGAAAAAGGGCAGTGATAACTGAGTGTAAGGTAAACATAGCTCTAGCCCAGGGGTCACAACCCAACTGTTAAGAAGAGCCGTTTTGTCCTTTCAGCAAAAATCAAACCACTTTGGGAGCCACAACGTTTTATGTCCATTTCACCATCTTGGCTGTAAATGTCTCAGTATGTGCTGATGAACTAATATAGACTAAAAAATATAAACAAATATGCAGACTTGATTTGCTCTGATTTAAGCTTTAGCTCAGCTATAGCCGCTTCTCTCACATCTCAGCCAGGAAACGTTTTCGCTAAAGTAGAACAGTTTCTTGTAAAACGTCTCTCAGTGTTCGACTGTTTTACGAGGCTGAAGTCGCTTTTCATTCGCCAGCTTCTTGTTTGAATTGTCCCGTTCCACCTTAAATGGTGCAGCAGTTACATTCTGGCACCATTTAAGTGCAGTGCTGCACACTGACCTGTAGAGAACTGGTGTGGATGGTGACAGTTAGGTGACTTGTGTGCAGCTGCACTTAGCCAGGGAGCTAACTCAGCAGTTAGCAAGCTGGCTAACTCGTCTGAAACAAACAGTAGAAACACAAATGTAAGTGAATGCATATCATACAGTTCCTCTTTCATGTGTTTATTAATAGGTTTAGCTCATGCAGAGTGATGTAAAATGTAAGATAAGAGCATCAAATAACTACTGCTGATCTGCTATTAGTGGCCAGATGGCAAAGATCCACCGAATTAAGTCAGAAATTTTCCTCACTGTTTTATCGAAGTGTTTGTCCAAAACGAAATTGAAAATTGAGTTTTACTTTTCATATTTATTGTTTCCAACTGGAGTAGATTTAATCTGGCTTAAAAAAAGTTAATTTATTTTGAAGTTGGCCGCCACTGGTAACAAAGGATCGCAGACGGAAGTAGAACATGGGCAGTAGATGGAGAGAAGAGGAAGAGAGGGGGAGAGAAGCGAGTGAACAGGTTGGGTTTTCCCAGCCTGAAAGCTTTTGTGGCGTTCCCGGAGGGAGTTATCGGATTTGCTCCGAGCAGCCGACATCAGAGAGAGGGAGAGGAGAGAGAGCGAAGAGGAAAGAATAAAAAACGACAGCCTTTCTTTCATCGAGCAGGTCAAAACAGAACATCTCGTTTTCAGATCATCATCAGAAGTAGCTGGTTTAGCCGCACCGAACATGCCGGCAGCACTTTACCTGAACAGGTCGTGGCAGACGTCACACACTGAGGGGGCTGCAGCTTTAATTCAGCCCAGCAGGACCTCACCTGATTCCACTGCTGTCTCCGAAATAAAGGTACTAAACTGTCTCTGGGGCAGTTCCCCTCTTGTCACTGGGGTGGAACCCTCAAGGGTACATCTCAGTACCTTTAGTCAGGGAACATAACTGAACCATAATCCACTGAAATGATATGGTCTAAGCTGTACTGACTCCACACACCCCGTCTCGTCTCCAGGCTTTTATTTTACTGTTCTGATTTAAAACATTCAGTTATGAAAAGGTAAAAATACGAACTTTTCACCTGGAAAAACTTATTTAAGGTTCACAATCAGACCTTAAAACCACAGTTGTACCTTTGAGGGAACCTTTACACTGTTTGTACCTTGATGAACGAAAAACATACCTGAACAGAACCTTTATTTCCAACAGTGTAGGGGTAATGAGTCGGCCTCAGTCTGCAAACAGCGTTTTTTTTTTGTGTTGCTGTCCCATAGATCATTGTTGGGGAGGGGCTGGGAGCACACATTATGTTGCAGTGCATGCTGGGAACTGTAGTGCAGCTCACGGTGAAATGGGCTACTATTAATAGAAAATAAAACTAATTTTAACGGCCCTTGTGTTTTACACATGGTAACAAAATGGACATTTTGTTGGTGCAGTTTTAGTGTTACCAGCTGTTTGGTTGCCCACTGAGTGTTTGATGCAGTGAGACCTCAGCAGTGCTGATAAGGTGGAGCAGGTGAGCATCTTGACTGTAGTACAGGCAGTTCTGTAGTGCTGTAATCCATCGTAATTATGAGGATCGCTTATCATAAGTACTTGCAGGAGGAGCTGTCAGTCATCATTGCCATGGTAAATGTTGCCATGGTAAATGTTGCTATGGTAAATGTTGTCACAGCACGTTTACATACGCCTGGATGTCAATATTCGCTTCTGTGAGAGAGAGAAACGCGAGAGAGGAAGTGAAGAGAGATCAGAAGGGAAACCGCTCGAGACAGTCGTATGCAAAAGTTTGGGCGCCCCTGGTTGAATGACATGTTTTTGATTTTGTGATCAAAAACGTGAAAATAAGTGAACGTGGAAATAAGTTAACACATCCTCTACAGGGATTTAATACACAATTACTGTTTACTTGCTGAACTGAACCTAGTGGAAAACAAAAAAAGTGGCCTGTGAAAAAGTTACAGTGCATTTCTTATTTTGTGGGTTTTTTTTCCAATATTAATAGAAATTGTGCACTAAAATTATCAGACAAATCCCATATTTGAGTGTGTTCTCTGTGGTGGATGTGTTAACTAAACATGTAATTTGACAAGGGGATGTTTAAACTTGTGCACATGACTGTATTGTGTTGAAACTACAGGCTGTGAGACGCTGCTGTTGCTGATGCACCTGACCGATGGAGGTGCACCACAGGCAGGGCAAGTGAACCTAGTGGGCTGCTATGCTAAAGGCTCTCATTACCCCAAGAGAACAGACAGTCCCTTCCGTATGACTCTCTGATGTTCACTCCCTCAATAACAACCTAGACTAACGTTAACTCAGACGTTAAATCAGAAGTGGCTCAGCCATTCATGGCCTCCCTTTAGCAGGTTTTACACCACGTGTATTCGGAGTCGACCAATTATCTGCCCGTTATATGAATATATAAAATATATTTGTATGTATTTTTGCTGACCATATCGTCTAATTTTTTATAATGTTTGAATGTTTACTTAATGTAAGTTGTGAGTGGAATTCCTGTAAATATTTCAACTACAAACATCAAATCTATGGTAAAAGAATTTCGGCCCCAAATATAGGATATCAGTATCCCTTATTACTAATTATCGGTATTGGTATTGGCCCTGAAAAATCCATATTGGTCAACCTGTACTAAGTGCAATTTTTCTGACCACTGTTCATCTTCTTAAGCCGCTTGATCCAGCTAGGGTCACGTTTGCAGTAGGAAAAGCAGAGAAGCCCAGAACTTCCTCCGCAACTTCCTCCAGCTCATTCTAGGGGTTCCTGAGTTGCTCCCAGGCCAACTTGGAGATATAATCCTTCCAGTGGGTCCGGGACGACCTTGGGGTCTCGTCCCAGTAGGCCGTGCCTGTTAAACCTCTAATGGGAGGTGGCCAGCGGGGCCTTAACCAACTCAACTGGCTCCTCTCAATGCGGAGGAGTAGCGGCTCTACTCCGAGCTCCTCCCGGATGACTGAGCTCCTCACCATGTCAGTAGAGTGTAGAAAGCTGATTTCCACTGTTTGTATCCGTGATCTCATTATTTCGGTTGTTACCCACAGCTCATGACCACAGGTGAGGGTCGGGATGTAGACCGAGCGGTAAGCAGAGAGCTTCGTACAGTCCGGTACAGTGACCGCATTACTGCTGCTGCCTGTCCCAGCCTGCGGCCGATCTCACCATCCCTCTTCCCATCACTCGTGAACAAGACCCCTAGATACTTAACCTCCTCAACCTGGGGCAGGTCGTGCCCCCTTATCTGACCAGTCCTGTGACTGTTATGCCTACTTAATTGCTCTTTTTTGCTGTCAACATCCTTTAAAGTTTGGTGCGACAAAACAACAGAAGGCTTGTTGCCCCCTACACTTCCTGTAGTGTATTGCAGTCTGTCGGAACGCAGCTCTGGTTGGTTTATAAATGACTAACAGAGACAGACCGATGTGTGATAGATCACTGTCTCTCTGCAGCAGCACTATCTCATCTACTAACACTCACAAGCATCTGCCTCACTGCTAAACCTGGAGCAGTGAATCTCCACACACAGTCATAAATACTCACACACACAGACGTCGTTACACAAGCATGAACAACTACACCTGCACTGAGCAGCGTATCGTTTGGTAGTTGTGTATAAGTACAGTTTACTGATGTGTTCATGTATATTGACAGGTAGTATTGCAGTTACAGTGTTCAGTAGAGGTGTAAGGATTAGTATATTCATTTTTACTTGCTTTCAGTATGGAGGTTTTGAGTCAGTATCCACTGAGAGTACAGTTAGATTGTATAATCTATAAGAAAAAGAAATACTGACTTTTCTTATATTCCTACAAGAACAGACATGAAAATAAGAAACAAAAACAGTAATGTTAAAAAAAAAACTATTAAAAGCTAAGAAAAACAAACAATGATGAAAGTATAAAAAATAAATAAGCATATATCTGAAAATAATGTACAAACAAACAAATGAATACAAAATAAAAATACAAAAATAAACCTCAAAAGAGTCACAAGATTGTCAAACAAAATAAAACATGAACGTTAAAGAACCATAAAAAAAACAACACAAAAGTAAGTAAAGAAAAAAGCAAAATTAAAAAAGTAAGAAAATAGTGAACTACGAAAGTAAGAAACAGACATCCTGAAACACTGTGTGTTTAAACCTGTTTGTGTTCTGAGGAAACAGCCTGTTTGTTTGTTTTATTGACTCTTTATGCAGGTGCTGCAGTGCAGTTGTGTTGGTTGAACTTCGCCTAAAATAACAAAAACAAAGTGAACGTTGCCACTTAATTTTCATTTTTGTATTGAAATCGTATAGTGTTGTGATGCAAAGACTACAAACTATACTGTATGTGAAATTTGTGCATCATGAAACCCTCTTGTATAAGATCACATCAAATATCACACATGACTTTTTCCTCATACGCACACTTACATTCCAATTTCCAAAACATTCTGCATAAATAAATGATTAAGTTGTAAACAGAGTCGTTCAGAGTGGTTTGGTGTGAAACGCTCTGTTCTAGAGAAACTTAGAGTCAGAATTGTTCACAGTGGTGGTGATAGGAACCAGACGTCCACCTCTAAAAGCTCCCTCACAGAAAGTTACTACATGAAATGGTTATGAATTCACTGTCTGAGATGACTGAGATGTAGTTTTTGTTCTATACTGTATTTTTAAAATCCATTCATGGCAGAGGGGCACATGTGAGGTAAAATATTTCCCAAAAAAAAATTATTTTTTCAGATTTATCACTATTTTACCATCATCAACATTCCATATAAACTCAGAAGACTCGTGTAGGTTCACTGGTGGTTTTGGATAGTAAATAAAATGTCTATATTTGTGTTGTAGTCATGGGGACCCCTGGTTCCTATCACCACCACTGTAAAGAAATCCGAGCCACTTCACACCAAACCACTCTGAATCTCTCTGTTTACATCGACTGAATATTGTGGCTATATACAGGCGCACCACACACACACACACCACACACACCACATTATCGACTGAGTGTGTGTGTGGTATGAGAATGGCTTCAGCTGTTGCTGTGGTGACGTGGTTCAGGGAGGGGGGTTGCATGAATAGCAGTGAGGGGATCACATACATTTCCATCACGCAGAGCACTATTTCTGTCTCTCTCTCTCTCTCTCTCAACCCCACCCTAATACAGACCCCCGGTACCAAACAGGAAAACTCTACACGGCCTGTAAAATCTCACTCTGCCGTGACTAATAAAGCAACAAGCCGCTGTAGATCATCATCCAACATGGGTTCTTCTCGTTTATTTATTTATTTGTTTGTTTATTTGTTTAAATGAGGTTTAAATTCCTTCAGCAGTGCCTGATTTAACTTAACGAAGGACTGATTAGATAAACCAGGAACTGGATGGTAACTGTAAATTCTGGACTTCTGTTTTACTGTCTTGTCCGTTGATCTGGGGAAATCAATGGTGATGCATTATCAGCATTCTGATTAGCTCGCTTCACAAAGATAAGGCGCTTGCAACTGTTGCGGGTGAGTTTTGAAATGAGTTGCAGGATGCATAACATTATGCAGCTCAAGTGCATTTAGTTTCAACTGAGGATGCATGAAAGTTTCAGTGTGTAAAGCCAGACTAATTATAAAGAGCTGGAAACAACAACAACAACAACAACAACCTGGCACAGAGTAACTACACAGTAAGAAATAACTGATTGGAAACCACATGCGGCTCTTTTACTGCCCTGTTGTGGCTCCACAGCAGAATCAGATTTGTAGGTAATAATAAAATAATCCTCCTTTACAGTAAAATAAAGCTCTGCTGATCGTTCAACACAGTTTAACAATAAATGGTCTTAAACTCTGGAGTTAATGTAGAACTGCTAATTCACCCTTTAACCCTGAAGATCAGCGCAGACCGCTGGTCACCATAGCAACAAAGACAACAATCTCGCTTAGCTAGTAGCTAACGAAACGGCAAAGAGAGAGATTTAAGACAAGTATTGATAATTTGGATACGAATGGACTTATTTGCGTTTATAATCACTCCAGCTGAAGCTGAAGTCAGTTTTTCGTTCGCCAGCCTTGTTTTAATTTTCCTGTTTTACCTTAAATGGTGAGGCAGTTATATTCTGGCCCCTCAGGCTCCATTTAAGGTGGAACGGGAGAATTCGAACAAGAAGCTGGCGAATGAGAAGCGTCTTCAGCCTCGTAAAAAGGCAAACGTTGAAAGACATTGTACAAGAAACTTTTGAGGAAAAGTTTCCTGCTGGAGATGCGAGAAAAGCTAAAGCTTAAAGCAGAGCAAAGTAAGTCTGCGTTTTTGTTTATATTATTTTTTAATCTATACTAGGACATCAGCACATACTGAGACATATTTACAGCCAAGATGGTGAAATGGACATAAAATGTTGTGGCTCCCAAGGTGGTTTGATTTTTATTGGAAGGACAAAATGGCTCTTCTTTACGTTTGGCTTGCCGACGCCTGGCCTATTATGATGTCATCTTATTTTATTAGTTTACTGTTTGATTTTTCTGCCTGTTCTTACCTAAATAGTTATACTTTTTGGCAAAAGTTGAATAAAAATGTAATTTTACTGTGCTTTAGTTCAGTTTGTCCATTTCAGCTCATTCACAGGCCTCACTGAGTATGTTAGCAGTGAATTTCAGGCCTAAATCCTTACCTTCTTGACCGTCTCCTGTGATGTTTGAATTAGCAGGCCCAATTCTTAAATTATAAGAATAAAGAATAGTGATAAAGCTGGGATGTTAGTAGGTTGGATTAGGCCAAAAATTGCTGTTGCTTTCTTGTTGCAGATGAAAGATTTGGCTCTTTCAAGAAGTGTTTATATTAAACAGTGGATCAGTCTTTTTCCTTTTTTCGTAATTTCACTGTGAACTTTTTGGTACAGAGGAGATTTGTTTACTGTAAATATTTTAGCTTGAGCCAGAAGCTACAAAGATACTCTAAAAGCGTTGTGTGCTCTTGTTTAAAAAAAAAAAAAAACACTTCAACCTTCTGTCTCCGTAAAACAGCATACAACAAATACGATGTGTGACACTTTTTGGAAATGATAATGTGCCGATTCCTCGCATTTAAAAAGGGATTCTGGAATACAAATAGAGTAACAAATGCTGCGTGGGAAATCTTCTGGCAAGGATCAGTAAATTAAAATCTGCTTTCTGAATCCACAAGTTGGCGGATGGTCCTCAGTAAGGACGGCTGCAACAGTTCCTACATAAGACCTGCTTTAATTTCACGTAAATGGAGCGCACCCCTTCGCTCCATGTGTGCAAGAGTGTCATGTGAGCTTCACATGAATCTTAAATTTCTTATTTAAAAACAATTAAGTAATGAAAAGGTAAAATATGCCCATTTTGTCTGGAAATTGCATGTAATTTACCTTTAAAACTCATTTAAAGTCTAAGGTTTTGTACCTTTGAGGGTACGCTGTGTACTGCGGCACCGCTGTAGGGTGTGCGTCAGCGTGTTTACATGGTTTAATTTGTCATTGTGACCATTTTGAACCATAATAGAGAAAGAACACACTTTACATGTGCTAACTGAGGTAGCCTGCAAGACCTGTAATGCTCCACTGTGAGCTATGTTAGCATTTTTCAGTAGACTGTGGTGCTGTATGTGTTGGCTTTTCTCTCAGCATGAGTTACTGGCCCTCCTGACTCCTCTGTGTGTGTGTGTGTGTGTGTGTGTGTGTGTGTGTGTGTGTGTGTGTGTGTGTGTGTGTGTGTGTGTGTGTTTCAGATCCTGCCCCCGGCCCCTTTGCACTAGTTGAACTCCAGCCACTAAAGAGGTAAGACCTTTGCATGTGTATTTATTAGGCTACACTCAGGAACCGTCACCATAATCACATTTCAGCTGAAGATTAACCACCATGGAAATTATTGCAATTAACTGTTTGGTTCTCTTTTTTGTTTGTTGTGTAAGAACATATAAACGAGCCTAAAGGCTGTAAGTCTAAGCCTGAAGTAGCCAGGATGGCTAATTAGCTATCTCGCTACCTAGCTATCGACACGTAGTAGCTCACACCTGAGCTCAAATACACAAACGTCGCTCACCGCCGCCCTCTAAAGGTGTTAACAAACATCAAATACACAAACAACGTTACTCACCGCCGCCCTCTAAAGGAGTTATTAACATCAAATAAACAAATGTCGCTCACCGCCGCCCTCTAAAGGTGTTTTACATCAAATACACAAACCCTCACCCCCCCTAAAGTGTTATACATCAAATACACAAACGGCGCTCACCGCCGCCCTCTAAAGGTGTTATTAACATCAAATACACAAACGTCGCTCACCGCCGCCCTCTAAAGGTGTTAACAAACATCAAATACACAAACAACATTACTCACCGCCGCCCTCTAAAGGAGTTATTAACATCAAATAAACAAATGTCGCTCACCGCCGCCCTCTAAAGGTGTTATTAACATCAAATACACAAACGGCGCTCACCGCCGCCCTCTAAAGGTGTTATTAACATCAAATACACAAACGTCGCTCACCGCCGCCCTCTAAAGGAGTTATTAACATCACATAAACAAACGTTACTCACTGCTGCCCTCTAAAGGTGTTATTAACAAACGTCAAATACACAAACGTTACTCACCGCTGCCCTCTAAAGGTGTTATTAATATCAAATAAACAAACATTACTCACCGCCGCCCTCTAAAGGTGTTATTACCATAACATAAACAAACATTACTCACTGCTGCCCTCTAAAGGTGTTATTAACAAACATCAAATAAACACACGTTACTCACCGCCGCCCTCTAAAGGTGTTATTAACATCAGCTAAACAAACGTTGCTTAACGTTGCTGATTGTGAGTGAGGGCTAGCATGGCCCTGCAGTGCTGGTCATCCTACAGGTTAAGCTAATGTCACTTCCTGGGATGAATTCGTGTTTAGCGCCCCTGCTGGAAAAATAACACAGAAACCACTGAAGGTGGTTGCTGGTTCCGGGTGGTGTCCAACAGTCTCTTATGGTATTTAGTGTTTTCCTGATGGGTTGATGTCTCAGTGTAATGGACTCTAATGGTTTAACAGCTGTTCTGGCACTAGTTCTAGATGCATTTGATGGTTTGTTAATGGGATCTAAAGGTGTCCTACAGGAAACTAGTGATCTCTTATGATAACCATTAAACCAAATTAATCCTAATGGTTTTAATGGTCTTTTTTTCCAATATTGGCTTGAGTTAGAATGTTTGTGCTAGGGCTGGTAGTTAGCATCTGATGGCTAATTGCTAATGTGGATGGGAAGTGTGGAACTCCAGAACCTTGGTTGCTGTGAGCTACAGGCTGCTGGAATGTTTTAGCAGTGTGGTGTCAGCTGGTGTGTGTGTGTGTGTGAGTGTGTGTGTGTGTGTGTGTGTGTGTGTGGTGTGAGTGTGAGTGTGTAGTGTGTGTGTGTGTGTGTGTGTGTGAGTGTGTGTGTGAGTGTGTGTGTGAGTGTGTGTGTGTGTGTGTGTGTGTGTGTGTGAGTGTGAGTGTGTGTGAGTGTGGTGTGTGTGTGAGTGTGAGTGTGTGTGTGTGAGTGTGTGAGTGTGTGTGAGTGTGTGTGTGTGTGTGTGTGAGTGTGTGTGAGTGTGGTGTGTGTGTGTGAGTGTGTGTGTGTGGGTGTGTGTGTGTGAGTGTGTGGGTGTGTGTGTGTGAGTGTGAGTGTGTGTGTGTGTGAGTGTGTGTGTGTGAGTGTGTGAGTGTGTGAGTGTGTGGTGTGTGTAGTGTGAGTGTGTGTGAGTGTGAGTGAGTGTGTGTGAGTGTGAGTGAGTGTGTGTGAGTGTGTGAGTGTGAGTGTGTGAGTGTGAGTGTGTGTGTGTGAGTATGTGTGAGTGAGTGTGTGTGTGTGAGTGTGAGTGTGTGTGTGTGTGTGTGTGGGTGTGTGTGTGTTTAGCGTTGAGATATTGGCTGCAGATTTTCAGCCACAGAGAGCTTCATTTGGAATGTTTTGGAGTAATTAACTGAATGTGCCTCTCATTAAATATAGTTACCGAATTATGGTAACTATATTATTTATATATTTACAAATAGTTGTTTGTAAAAGTTTAGGCACCCTGTTCAAGTGACATGTTTTGTTGAAGTGTAAATAAGTTACACATCATCAATGGAAAACACATTTTAATACACAATTACTGTTTATTTGCTGAAATTAACATTTTGGAGAAAAAAGTTAAAACATAAAATGTGGCCTGTGCAAAAGTTATGGTACATTTTTAATATTTTATATTTTGTTAATTTTTTACGAGTATGTTAAACTCAGCAAATAAATAGTAATTGGTCACTACAGTTATCAGAAAAATGTCATTCACGTTTGTTTACACGTTAGCTTTACTTAGGTAAAAATAAAATATGAAAAAATAAATAAAAAACAAAATACAAAAAGTAAAAATATAAAATATAGTTTAAGAGCTTCACTGAATAAATTTGCAGAGTTCTCCCCTCAAAATACCCTCAAATGTGGTCAGTCAGCCGAGACAGCAAGACAGAATTTAGCCACGCCCACTCACCATTAACTTATATATATGTGTGTTTCAGCCCAAACTCCTTTTTGAATTAACCTTTGGCAGCCAATCATAACAGAGGTCATTTACACTGAACAGTATTAAAGGGACAGTAATAAAAACGGGAAAAAAAATGGAAAGTGGTAAAGTAATAATAAAAAATGAGAAAAAGGATACAAGCCTTTTAAATTTTATCGCTTACATTTTTGACAGATGCAAGAAACGTGTGAAAATAAACTGAAAAGGGAACCAATTTTTAAAAAAAATCGTCTCAATTACGTGGTTGTACGGAGCCCTACTGGTGACATCCTATATAAATAAAAATAATCCACGACTTATTAACACGTGGGAATGAGATCCCAATGCGTGGCCACGACTTATTAAGGCACGGGAATGAGATAATTAAGTCGTGGCCACGACTTAGTAATGCATGCAAACGAGATCATGCCTTTATAAGTCGTGGCCATGCATTAGGACCTCGTTCCCATGCCCTACTAAGTCGTGGCCACTACTTAATTATCTTAATTATCCCACCCCTTACTAAGTTGTGGCCACGCATTATTTTTGTTTATGCAGGATGTCACCAGCAGGGCTCCGTATGGTTGAGATGTAAACAGAGTCGTTCAGAGTGGTTTGGTGTGAAACGCTCTGTTCTAGAGAAACTTACTGAGTCAGAACTGTTCACAGTGGTGCTGATAGGAACCAGACGTCCACCTCTAAAAGCTCCCTCACAGAAAGTTACTACATGAAATGGTTATTAATACGCTGTCTGGTGTCTAAGACACTGTATATAGATAGTAAATAAAATGTGTTGTAGTCATGACGACCCCTGGTTCCGATCGCCACCACTGTAAAGAAATCTGAACCACTTCACACCAAACCACTCTGAATGACTCAATCACTGAATTATGCAGACATTTTGAAAAATTGGTGGAATTTCCCTTTAAGCACAGCCTTTAAAGCTCACCTCCTCGCTGAGGTGAATGTATCCTTTAAATGTTTAACCTGATATGCTTTGTGCAGCCTGGTTGGAGAGGTGGGTGATTGAAAGGGGGAAGTGAAAGGGTGAAGGAACAATAGAACGAACAGGCTGAGGACCTGAGGGTGACGGATGGTGTGTGTGTGTGGGAGTTTCTTTTACAGTGCTGCTGAGGACTCATGTATGCGTCTTTGTTTCAGGTTATTAAGGATAAGTCTCTCGGGAAGCTCTTAAATCCCCTCCGGAATGTGCGAGTGAGTGACTGCGGGAAGAAGCAGCGAGGCTGTGTTACTGAACGGCTTGTAAAGGCAGAGAGAGCAGCAGTGCAGTAATCTGAGTCGTAAATTACGGCAGGCTGTGAGTTAAAATGAGAGTTCGGTCAGCGTTGCTCTGCTCCAGCATGAACCCGGCTTCGTTAATGATTTATAGATTGAATTATCCTTGAGATTAAAATCAACTACTCCACTTAAACTCCACTTAAACTCCGCTTCTCATGTTTATATGAGTCGTTCTCCATTTGAAATGGGAGTTTCGGTGGATTCATTTTTTAAAAAAATCACTTTCTTTCGTTGCAAAACTAAATAATCTTAATATGTCCACTATAACTACAGTCAAAAATGATAAATATCATTATTTTGACAAAATTTGAATTACCCAGCCATTAAAGCACATAACACCAGTGACGCATAGAAGTTATGAGCTGCCTGATAAATAAAATTATGAATAAATTAATGAAATATAGTGAGCAGGTGTGACTCGCCTTCTCATGTCCTGAGATGCTTCCTCTCTGATGAGCCTCGACCCGAATAAGCATTTTAATAGAGCTGAAAATACTGTGTTCAAATGTAAAATAAAAGTCCTGATAACACCAGAGACCGAAATCTATTTCAAATAAAATACATATTTTTTAAATGTAGTATAACATTAATGATATAAAAACCTAAACATGAATCTGTTTTATACAAATTCCTAAGCTAAAGCTTTTAAAAATACTGTTTTATATTAAAAATGGTTTGAAAAGCGGTTTTGTGATGAGCTGTTTTCCAGAAGCAGAGCGACTATAAAACAGAATAAAAAAAGAAAAATCAGAGAATCATAAGGGAAAATTGTTATCTGATCTTACGTGTAAATGTACATACCGAATTATGGAGCTGTGCCTAATATTTTAAGCTCTGCAGCCTCTGCAGACATGGTTTCCCCTCCAAATGACTCATGTACTGTGTTAAATTACATGTTTTTTCATTTTCTAAGTGAAAATAAGTTAAAATCCACTAAAGGGAACTTAAATATGGCATTTTCTGCAAATTTTGCTGCACAATTTCCGTTTATGTGCTGAGTTTAGCACACTGGAACAAAAACAGCTTATAAAATGTGCTGTAACCTTTGCACAAACCACATTTTATGCTTTGGGTTTTTCCCCCAGCATGTTAAATTCAGCAAATAAACAGCAATCGTGCATTAAAATATGCTCTCTGTAGAGAATGTGTTCACTTATTTACACTTCGACAGTAAACAACATTTGACCAGGGGGGCACAAACTTTTCCCTATGACTGTATTTGTTGTTTGTGTTTGTGTGTGTTGTGTGAGCTGCTGTAACTCCTGAGGTCATTGAGAATTCCTCTAGTTTGTTAATGACTGTTTTATAATGAGGAAATGACCGTTTGATGGTAGGAATAAAGTCATACGCTAGCAGTCAAAAGTTTGGAGTCACTTATAATATTAATCATTTTTCTTATTTTATGTACAATAAAAGTCTGTGCTTTTATTAATAAAAATAACATTTTATTTAATTAATAATATGCTAGAATGATCTATTTATATTTGTTTTTAGTTTTGATTTTAGTTTTTTAGAGTTGATCTCCACTTATGAAATATGATTCTGAATTTTGACTATTAATTTAGTTCTTATAATATTAAAGAGTAACTACACACCACTGTTTTCAGCGAACTCCACCCCTGGCTCAACTTTGAATAATGCTCACAAATGGGAGGGGCACGCTGGGAGGGGCACTACAGTGATGTTTGGGTTTGGAGGCGGGGCTGCGAGGGAGACCGGGTGGGCTGGGCTGCTGTGTTTTTAGAGCTAGCGAACGTTAGCTACCAGAAAATATGGAGAGTGGCAGAATCAAATGGCACTTTTAGAACTGAGAGTCTTACGAGGCTGACAGTTTTTCTCCACTACCATCCCCATCTTTGACGAGGGAAGGTGTTTCTGATCAGGCAGTGCGTCTTGAGCCTTAACAGTATGAGTCACTGACTCAAACCACCAAAGAGTTAATGTAGTACCAGGAAATGATTAGCAGTGAGAGGCAGAGGCGCTGAACGATAGAACATTCCCTAAAACTGCGACAGCCAGCTTCTAATTATCTGTTCAGCCGGTCCGTTATATTCAGTATAACCCGAGTCCTGATTTCTTAGATGTACTGAATTCCGAATTAATAAAGTGGATTTTTTGAACTCTGTCTAAGTTTCATTCAGTTTGACATCTAGGTCACAGACTGCAAGCTGTTCATGGCACTTACTGGTGTTACATCCGATTCAGTTCCCTTTCAAATTCACGTTCTCCCTTATAAATCGAACCCTCGGGCGCGACTCACTGAACAGAAATCAACGGCAAGCAACACTGGAACTACAGAAAGTGGGGAAAAAGTTCGAGAAAGACTGTACAGACGAAAGGTTGACACAGTCGGTAACAATGGCCATTTAACGTTAACCTTTCCTGAATCGTTTCGCTTTCCGTAGTTCCAGTGTTGCTTGCCATTGATTTCTGTTCAGTGAGTTGCACCCGAGGGTTTGAGTTGTGAAGGGAAATGTGAATCGGGTGCAAGACTGGCAGCTTTATGGAGACAAGAATCCTCATTTAATCGGTCCAACATCTTTATTAAATACTAAGCTAATACAGATTAACTGGGTTATGTGCAGTTGGTATGGACAGCTGGCATATCGCAGCCGTGTGAGGTGGTGCAGGGGTTATTCAGCTCAGCGTGAGTGTGGTTATCTCCTCACTCTCGGCTCCTATGCTTTCATATTTATGAGTGAGGCACGAGTAGGGTGTCATCAGGGGACGTTGTTTGACTGATCTGCGTAGTGACATGTCGTGGTATTTTGGTACGAAGAGGCGTCATCCGGGCCTGTTGCAGAGTTGCACCAGAGGGGGTGCTGCAGAGGCAGAACTGAGCATGATAAAATTGATATTTTCACAGTTTGGAAAGTTGTGTTCACGTTTTAAGCAAGACTGATATATTTTATTATTACAGAGCAAAACATTTCAGCTGTTAATGAAAAAAGAATGCCTTAGGGTGGAGTTACTCTCTAACTCAATGCTGTACAGCTTTCTCAGTCATATTAGGATCTTCTACATGGAAAGTGTTCCATATAGCACCAAAAAGGGTTCTTCTGTTACGATGTCAAGCTTGTCACAATAGAAGAACCCTTTTTCGTGCGTGAACCTTTTTCAAAAAAGTTCTATATAGAACCATCTACAGCACGTTCTCCATAAATCTGAAGAACCTTTGCACGATGCAAAGCACCCTTTAATCATGCACAGGGTTCTTTGAGAGTTCGTGGTTTTATATAGAAACATTTTCTTTACTGAAGAACCCTGGATGAACCGTCTTTTTAAAGTGTGTATAAAGTAATTATGCATTAACATTTGCAGATATTGCACAATATAATAAAAAGAACAGGTGTTTTTATTCTTTTTGCTTCAAAATGTGTCATTTGGCTCGGGGTGGCCAAACTTTTGCGTACAACTGTGTACGATAATTAGTCAGAACGTGCGGCCGCTTGCTGTCGTTGGACGTTGGCGATGAAAATTGGAAACTGAGCTCACTCTGTGGAAATTGTGTGATTTTCATGTTCTGGTTCATGTGGACTCAAAATGATGAATTATTGAACGTAATAAATATATCGTGATGCTTATTTTGTCCACTCGTACAGCTGTAACACAATGCACTGCTCTTAAAATGATTAGCTACACAGAACGATGCGATTAATCGCGATTAATTATCTGAATCATTTGACAACTTTGTGTTGTACATATAACACTTATTGGCTTTTGTATCTCTCTCTCTCTCTCTCTCTCTCTCTCTCTCTCTCTCTCTCTCTCTCTCTCTCTCTACCAGGATGATTGAGGAAGGAGGGAGGACAGGGAAGACCATGGCGGAGAAGAGGCAGATTTTTACGGAGATGAGTGAGTACTGACCTTAGACCTCTACCCGTCTTTGACCTCGCTATACCCGGCTACTGTACTGTTGAAATGTGTAATAGAAGAGCCAGGCTAGTTATAATGTAAGTGTTCACTAAGTTCAGGTTTAAACACATTACTACATCATAAGAGGCTGCACCCCACAAACTATTTTTAATGTTGAGCTTAGCAGTTTATATTTATACTTCCGTCTCAGGTGCAGGTGGAAGTGTCGGAAAAAACACACAGAAAACACACAAAACAGCATAAACAGGACTTTTTTGTTAACTGAGCTAAAAAACGCGGTGCGATACGCTGTTAATTTACTTACAGCTCAGAGTAAATTAACAGCTCGGAAAAAACACACAGAAAACACAAAAACAGCATAAACAGGACTTTTTTGTTAACTGAGCTAAAAAACTATACTGTGCTAACTGTGCTATATGCTGTTAATTTACTTACAGCTCAAAGTACAAAGGGTTCCAAAAGGGTTCTTTTATTGTTACAAGCTCAACATCATAACAACAGTAACAAAAACAATGATTAACAATGATTAGCGATCATGAGTAACAATGATTTTCTGTGTAAAAATCAATAGACATTTACAAACTACAGTTTTGCCCGAAAGCTCCTGTTTATTTTGGACTCGCGCCCTCTGGCGTCAGACCCGAAGACATTATTGAGTGGAAATTCTCTTCACTGCACATTCCCTGGTATTAGCGATTGCTATTAAACTTCTTTTTTTTTCTTTCAGTGTCTCAGAATTTTGACACAATCCGACTCTCCACATATCGCACAGCCTGCAAGCTCCGATTCGTCCAGAAGAAATGCAACCGTGAGTAGATCATCATCATCATCATCATCATCATCACCACAGCTAAATCATTATTCTGTTATAATCACGGCTAAAACAGGATTCCCACGCCTCCTGGAAAACCTGGACATTTAGAGACGAGCTTTCCAGTGATGGGGAACACCTAAATTTTCTAAAAATATCCTGGAAATGTTATTGGAAAAAGTGTAACTTTGGGGCGATTAAGCAACTGAGATTACGTATTTTGCATGTTTTTAGTTATTAATGAGCACTTTGAGTGTCATTTCATACCTGTTGTAGTTTGGAATGCTGTAGAGTCAGTTGCGGACACATAAGTGGGAACGCCTGGCGGAGTGAGGCTGCATTAACAGTGATGTTGATGGTTTAAAACAACCTTATTATAAGTCTTGGAAATTGTCCTGCAATTTGTCCTGGAAAACAACAGAGTGGGAGCCTGTAAGAGCAGAACAACGTTATAATCACAGCTAAAAGCACTGCAGTGTTATAATCACAGCTGAACACTACAGTATTGTCATCACAGCTCAGAGAACTACAGCATTATAATAACAGCCTAAAGCACTGCAGCGCTAAAGTCAGAGCTAAAACACGACAGAAACGTAAAAAAAATTATAATTACAAATAAAAACACCACAATTACTTAAGTTCGTAACTGGAAACAGTGAAGCTGTTTTAGTGACTGAAATATTGGACAGCTGAACATGTATATCACTGTTGCCAGAGCAAAATCTCGTATCTCCAAAATGGTAACTTTACAGGAGAAGGAAAAACCTACTTTAGTTTTAATGTAAGTCAATGGAACCAGACTTATGTTATTTAGGGTTGTTTCTTTTGGTCCATTCATCATGAAATTTACACACAATGTAAAGCGCAACAGGCATTTTCAAATTAAATCAAAAACTGAAAAACGACAAAAATGGAAATGTTTTTTTATTTTGCATTGTTTATGTTTTAATAAACTCTTCTGCCATGAATTTTGATTGGGAGCAAGTGGAGCTTCTCGCATGGTTTAAACTTCTATGTATTTAACACCTTTTGTATGATAAAAGTTAATGTACATTGCTGCTTTTTTTTTTGTACTAATATATTTATCGCCGCCATTAGTGTGAGGGGGAAAATCCAGACACTTTTTTTTTTTTTTTTGTTATTTGAAGAATATTCAGAGCATATATCCAATTCAAACTTACACACATAACATATTTTAACATATTTTGCACTCGAACCTGAAAAAAATGTAATCCTAAGAATTAACAAAGATATGTGTAAAATTAAAAATTAATCTAGGTGAGGTTTAATTAACAGGGAGGAACAGGACAAAATTAAACCTCAATGCTGCAAGACTTACTGTAGACAAACAGCTTTGCAACAAAGTACTGTTATTAATTTTTGATGTCTAAATTTTAATTGGATTTTTTTTCCCTGTATTTAATTTTTAGACATGTTTGTTTATGCTTATGAATTCCTACTTTTCTGATCATGTTTAGTATGACATCGTTAGACAATATATATGTAAATCTAAAGTAAACTCTCAGAAATAAAGGTATTAAACCATCACTGGGGCAGGACCCCTCTTGTCACTGGGGTGGGAACCTCAAGGGTACATCTCAGTACCTTTAGTCAGGGAACATAACTGAACCATAATCCACTGAAATGATATGTTCTAAGCTGTACTGACTCCACACACCCCGTCTCGTCTCCAGGCTTTTATTTTACTGTTCTGTTTTAAAACATTCGGTTATGAAAAGGTACAAATACAAACTTTTCACCTGGAAAAACTTATTTAAGGTTCACTATTGGACCTTAAAACCACTGTTGTACCTTTGAGGGAACATTTACACTGTTTGTACCTTGATGAACAAAAATTGTACCTGCACAGAACCTTTATTTCTAACAGTGTATCCGCTAGACGTTTATTAAATAGCAAAAACAAAAGTGTGTCAGAAGTTGTTCCCCCTCACTGTATTAGCTAATTTTTTGGGAATATCAGATTCATTGTCATTAAAGCATCTTCCTTGGTATGAAGAGTAGGTTTTAAATAACGATGTGACAGTTTCATTTTCCGTACTGTTGTTAAAAGTGCATTTTGAACCACCTGAAAGTGTCGAGTGCTGGAATCACAACAATATAAATGGATAAAATGTGTGGCCTTTGGCTTTATTCCCTAGTAAACACTAACAGTGGCACAAACCTTTCCAAAACCAAAGTTTTTGCAAGGAAAACATGTTAATTTGTACTAAAAACGTTTTGAAATACTTGACATCAGGCAGTTTAGCTGATGCTGCTAACGTGCTGTTTGCCTGTCCTTTCAGTGCACTTGGTGGACGTGTGGAATATGATCGAGGCCTTTCGGGATAACGGCCTGAACACGCTGGATCATAACACTGAGCTGAGCATGTCCAGACTGGAGACCATTATCTCCTCCATCTACTATCAGCTCAACAAACGCCTGCCGACCACCCACCAGATTAACGTCCAGCAGAGCATCAGCCTTCTGCTCAACTTCTTGTTGGCTGCACATGACAGGTACGTGCAGGTTACTGTGGAAATGATGGTGACTTTCTATGAATGTCACGTTTGTCGGCATCTATAAACACATTTATAACATGTTATAATGCATTCATAAGGCATTATAAACAAGGTTATAAGTATTTATAAAAATTAATTACACTGACTTATACTTTATAGCCATGTTTATTGTACATTATGAATTGTTAATATAATGCATTATAAGAAGTGTTAATAACATGTTGTACTGTCAGTGCTAAAGAAGTCAGTCCCGGCTTGGAGAGTAAAGACAAATACAGCGTTTATTTACGCTCTGAGATTTCCAGCATTTTATTTCTCAGTGCTGGTGCTGTTAGGGCTGCATCTTCGGGGCTTCAGTCCTGGATGTTCAGGTGCTCCAAACAGGCTGACCAGCCTAGAATTACTGCTACAGTGAGCTTTTCTTAACCAGCGCTCTCACTTTAAATGTTACACCACAGCAAACCAAGTACCCATCAGCCCCTCCCCTGAACCCCCTCTGACATCACACTGAGCGTGAGGTCACTGTGGAGTGAAGGCCTGGAGAGGGAGAGGCAAGATAGTCGAGTGCTGGCATTGTAATTTGTTCCCTCACTGGTTCTAACATCAATAGCTAGAACCCCTACACTCTGTAACATCCCTGCACTACAGTACAGTAATACTAATTTCTGATAGCATTCTATTGGATCTGCATTGTTAAGTTAGCGCCAAGCTAACGGTGGTGCACATTACCTTTCCCACATTGGGTAAAACACTGATGGCAGCTCTAGTTTAAACTCTGACATTTGAAGCCTGTAATGAGCTTTACTGTGAATGTTTTAGTGTTTCAGTAAATCCTTCAGTAAATACTTCAACTTGAAGCCTCACTCTGAACACTGGAGGAGGCTTTAGTACAGTACGCTTCACTTTACTTAGAGCAGACACATACGACTTATGAGCACTTATAATGTGTTATGAACAGTACTTATAATGCATTATGTTAACAATTCATAATGTATAATAAGTATGGCTATAACGTGTAATGCAATTTCACAAATAGTTATAGCCATGTTTATGATGCATTATGTGAATGCATTATAACATGTTATGAATGTGTTTATAGATGCTTACAAATGTGACATTCATAGAAAGTGTTGCCAAAATGATTTCTGCAGTGTTGTGTAGTTAGGTAAAAATTAGAGATGCTTCGATACAGATACCGCTATTGGGTAATGACCCTGCACTGCGCTCATTTACCCGTACTTGTACATGAAAAGAAAATGCATCAATTCGAACATCCAAAACCACCTGATGCCATGAGATGTAAGCCTAGTGTAGCTGCTGCGCCACTGCTCTGTTTGCATGTTCACGTCTAGGGGTAGGGTATCCTGATTCTTGTTGAGATAGAGGGGGAGGGTGAAGTGTTGGGGCTAAATGACCCTCCAAACAGAGGTTTTTCAGAGACTCCAAACAGAGAGTTATGAGATAAAAAGAAAAACTGGCAAGATGGAGAACAAGAGACCAAAGAAACACACAAATGTGAGAATTTTCTCTGTTAGGAAATTAAATAACCACTGTATTATCTTAGTTTAATGTGGTTTCAGTGTATTATGGTCCTTTTCTTCATTACAAGTGTAAAAATTGCTAATAGTAGCTGATATCTCAGTAGCTAGCTAGCTAAATTTCCTGTTCCACCTTAAATGTTGCCGTCTCACTGTACAATTTGCTTATTATTATTTTTATTATATTATTATTATATTATATATTATTATTGTTTCATATCAGCCCCCCTCAGTCACCTTGTTTATCGTTTGGATTTTCAGTCTTATTTCCATCCACACTCCCCTCACTGTACACTTACATTTCTATATTTATTTTCCTGTTTTATGTTTGTGTTTATTGTGCATTTTTATTTTTATTATTGCTGCTTCCCGAATCAGAACCTGAGCACCTCATTTCATTCCCTTTCATGTACGACATGTTCTGGAATGACAGTAAATGAATCTGAATCTGAATCCGAGTCTGTATTTGTGTTTATTTGTTGTGTTTTGTTACTGTTGAAGTTGAGCAGGTGGTTCTGACCGTAGTGTCGGTGTGTTTTGCAGTGAAGGCCAGGGGAAGGTGACTGTGTTCTCAGTGAAGGCGATGCTGGCTATAATGTGTGCAGGGAAGATCGTGGATAAACTGCGCTGTGAGTATTTACTCTCGTTACCTGCCGACTGAGGTCCGTCTCACAAAGCAGGGTTTTTCCTGCTTATCCAGCTCTTTTTTTATTGGCAGCATGGCAACTTACGCTGCATGCTAATCCAGGACAGGTTAAATTCATGACTGTGGACCATAAAACGCTCCTCCTGATAAAGGTCAATGAAAGTTCCAGTCTGTAAAGCAATACCGCCACCTAGTGGACTGTACATGCACGTAGGCCAACTGGTGTTGGGTCTGCACAAATGCTGTGTTCTCATTCTTAACATCTTTGGGTTATTAAAAAATGTCTGTTACAACTGTGTTATATAACTGTAGTATAAATTGTTATTATTATTATTATTATTATTATCATTCTTGTCATTATTAACAGTATATTTTAGTATAATTTAAAATGTTTTTTGTACATTATGAAAGAAAATGAAGAGAGCCCTTTTTACCTTGTTATTTTCTGTGCCTGGTCATATTAAACACAGTTCATCATATCATACAGTATGCAAAAGTTTGGGGACACTGAGTTAAATGATATGTGTGTGTGTGTGTGTGTGTGTGTGTGTGTGTGTGTTAGATATTTTCTCTCAGATCTCGGACACGAACGGGGCGATGACTCTGTCAAAATTTGATCACTTCCTGAGGGAGGGGCTTAAGCTGCCGTCCGCCGTGTTCGAGGGTCCGTCCTTCGGCTACACGGAACACTCTGCCCACGCGTGCTTCCCCCAGCAGGTACACATCGCTCAAATCCGATCTGACTCGATGGTTCACACTCGTTTAGGTAGGTGATTCAAATCTGTCATTAATGTGACGAACCGGCGTCCTGAAATGACCCTGATGAGCTCATCCTACTCAGTAACGTCACGTGAATGAATCACGTTCATCATCAGCACAAACTAACGAGCAGAACGAGCTTCGCTGAGAAGATCATTAACTCTGATCAGCTCTCAGCTTCATTATTAGAGCGAGACGAAGGAGAAAAAGGTGAGATGAGCTGCTTTTCCACCGTTCACAGGCTTTAACTTCTGTTCAGCACATGAATTCCGATCTGAGCGTCACATTAAGGTCGCATGGCCACGAATCGGATAGGAATCCGATCTAGGACCACATATGAAAGTGGCTCAGGTCGGATTTGAAAAGATCAGATTTGTGTGTCCACACAGCTCTGAAAACATCAGATCTGAGTCACATTAGGGTAAAAAATCAGATTTGTGCCACTTCAGCCTGGTAATGTGAACACAGCCTAAATCAACATATTGGTTTGTTCACACTGATGCCAGATATGGGTCACTTTAAAACATGAATGTGAACAATCAAGGCAGAATTACTGTATCCGAATTGTTTCACCTCCTGTCTTGATAGTTGTGACTGAAAGTGTGTGTTTGTGCTTGCGTGCTAGTAGCTCCCCCTTGTGGAGAAGGTGTTCAAGAGCAGGTGATGTTTCTGGACATTGTGGTGGCTGATGAACATATATTTGTATGTGTTAAACAGAAGAAAGTGATGTTGAACACGTTTCTGGACACCATAATGGCTGACCCTCCTCCTCAGTGTCTTGTCTGGCTGCTCCTCATGCATCGCCTTGCTAACGTGGAGAGCGGTAACAACACACACACTTTTTGGCTATTGTTATAAAGTGACCTTAAAGGGGAATTCCACCCACTTTTCAAAATGTCTGCGTAATTAAGTTGTTAAGATGGAAGTTCGGTGCGGTTTGGTGTGAAACGCTCTATTCCAGAGAAACTTAGCAAGTCAGAATTGTTCACAGTGGTGGTGATGGGAACCAGACGTCCACCTCTAAAAGCTCCCTCACAGAAAATTGTCACAATAGAGTTACAAGGTGTTACACGGCAAAAAAAGTTCCCCAAGAAAATTTATTTTTTCCAGATTTATTACTATTTTACCTTCATCAGCACTACATATATAAAACTCGTGTAGGTTCACTGGTGGTTTTCGATAGTAAATAAAATGGCTATATTTGTGTTGTAGTCATGGCGACCCCTGGTTCCTATCACCACCACTGTAAAGAAATCTGAGTCTGTACAATCAACCATTTCACACCAAACCACTCTGAATGACTCTGTTTACATCTCAAGGACTGAAATATTCAGAAATTTTGAAAAATCATTGGAATTCCCCTTTAAAATCTCTCTCTCTCTCTCTCTCTCTCTCTCTCTCTCTCTCTCTCTCTCTCTCTCTCTCTCTCTCAGTCTTCCATCCAGTTGTTTGCTCGTACTGTCGTAGTGAAGGCATGGTTGGGTTTCGGTATCGATGCCAGCAGTGCTTCAACTATCAGCTCTGCCAGAACTGCTTCTGGCGCGGTCATGCCAGCGGTAACCATAGCGACCAGCACCAAATGAAGGAGCAGTCGTCCTGGGTAAGAATCAGTGAGCCATAATCAATAATCAGTATTGATATTGCTGAGTCACTTCATTAGAAACACCTCCCTTGTGCTTTCACTCACTGGCCACTTCATTAGAAACACAGATCTAAGATTAGATGCTTGAATTTTAAGCTTTATTAACTTCAAACGTCTCTCACTGGTTAACGTAAGTAATCATACTTGTTTATGTATTTGAAGATAACATATGGATGGAATGAAAATAATAATAGGCATCTAAAGAAATTCAAAGGGGGTGGAAAGGAGGGGATGGTCATTGTACAAGTGCGTGGGTTTGTGTTAACAACAAATGATTAAACAAATAGATGCAGTACGTTAGATGGGGGAGCTCATTCCTTTGATTTCTGTGCAGCCTTTTACAGAGAGTTGACGTTGTTCCACTCAGCATTGACGGCTTCAAACAGTTTAAAAACATTGACAAGCTGTTTAATGTGAAACCAAACGTTCTCTGTAGGGTTTAAATCTTCACTCAACCAAAATATTATATTTTGACACATTTTTTTGCAGTAGAGTGTGTATTAAGAAGAATGTTTGATCTGAATTGAACCGTGAGTGTTGGAGCGCCTGAGGGAGCCGCGGATCAAAGATGTAATGGAATCGTTCAGGATTCCCAGATCAAACACAGCTGATGTGCTGATTAGAAATGAAGAAGTTGTAGGACAGAATGTTCAGAGATGGACAGCGTTTAGTTTTCCTCACTCAGTCTGTTACTGACTGCGCAGATTTTTCAGTGTAATAGAAGAGGAAGGAGAAATGGAGAAGTCTTGTGCTTAGACAGCGTCCTCTATAAAGAGAGCTGTCTGTCTTTAACCTTTCTGTGTGTGTGTGTGTGTGTGTGTGTGTGTGTGTGTGTGTGTGTGTGTGTTGCAGAAATCTCCTGCTAAGAAGCTGAGCCATGCCATTAGTAAATCTTTCGGGTGTGTTTCGAACCGTGAGCCCCCTCACCCGATGTTCCCCGAAAACCCTGAAAGACCACTCGACCTGTCCAACATCGTGTAAGTGTGTGTGTGTGTGTGTGTGTGTCCATATATATGTATACATACATTATACATGTACATATATGTGTGTATATATGTATGTGTGTGTGTGTGTGTGTGCGTGTTTACACACTGAATAGACGAAAGTATTGGGACACCTACAGGAGCTTTTATGAGTCCCATTCTAAATCCATAGGCATTAATATGGAGTTGGTCCCCCTTTGCAGCTCTAACAGCTTCCACTCTTCTGGGAAGCTTCTACAGATTTTGCAGTGTGTCTGTAGGAATTTCTGCCCATTCATCCAGAAGAGCATTTGTGAGGTCAGACACTGATGTTGGACGAGAGGGCCTGGCTCACAATCTCCATTCTAGTTCATCTCAAAGGTGTTTGATTTGGGTTGAGGTCAGGTCTCTGTGAGGGTCAGTCAAGTTCTTTCACACCAAACTCACCCAGCCAGGCCTTTATGGAGCTGCTTTGTGCACTGGGGCTCAGTCATGCTGGAACAGAAAAGGTTCTTCCCCAAACTGTTCACAGAAAGTTAGAAATGTACAATTGTCCAACATGTCTTGGTGCTGAAGCATTAAGATTCCCTTCACTGGAACTAAGGGTTCTAGACCAACCCCTGAAAAACAACCCCATATCATCATTCCTCCTTTAGCAGATCTAGCAAGACAGAAATTTCACAGAACTGACTTGAGGTGGCATCCATGACAGTGCCATGTTTAAAGTCACTGAGCTCATCAGTACAACCCTCTACTGCCAGTGTTCGTCAATGAATGTGGCTAAAACACCTAAACTTAATAATTTGGAGGGGTGTCCCAATACTTTTGTCCATATAGTGTGTGTGTGTGTGTGTGTGTGTGTGTGTGTGTATACACACAAACACACACACCCTATATATATATATATCTATACATATATATGTGTATATGTGTATATATATATATATATATATATGTATGTATTATCATAGGGTGTATGAATTTTCAATTTTCCATATTAGTATTACAAATAGGTGCTCATTCATATATAATACATATGGGACGTATTATTACATATAGATACATATACGTGATTCATATGGGACATGTACGGCGCCGCGCTCTGATGGGTTATAAACGCCTGCGCTTTTGTGATTGGATTATGTGCGGAACGCAGTATCAACGAGCTTATTAATTTAGCGAACTCAAAGACTCTCGGTCTGCTCAGCGTTAATGAATACAAGGACGGGAATCTCTCTGCACCCACCACCTCCCCACCCTCCCTGGTGCCCGTCCTGTCAGTTCAGTGGGTCAGTTCCTATTGGACACTTCCCTCACATGAGCGCTGTGTCTCCGTGGAGACAGTGATGTAGTCAGTGAGGTGTCCCTTCAGTCGAGCACGGGACACAGACACACTGTCGTACAGAGAGAAATAAGAGGAGGGTTTGTTTGTCTTTTCACCCGCACCAGCCTCAAGAACAGAAGCCGGGTCAGCAGTATTCGTGGTATTGTTTCTATGTTATTTCTCTTTCTTTCTTTCTCTCTCTCTCTCTCTCTCTCTCTCTCTCTCTCTCTCTCTCTCTCTCTCTCTTTGCCTGTCTGTTAACTTTGTGTTTGTTTTATCTCTTAGTCCTGCGTGAGTGATCAGCTCTCTCTGGGCAGAGTTCTCTGTATGAGGGACTCCAGGTTTTGTTGTTACTTTCAGGGACATTTTTCTTGCCCCTGTCGCCTTTTGGTTGCTCACTTCGCTGCTCTGTGACGCTGCCTGTTCTGAAAAAGTGCTATACAAGTAAAGTAGAAATGAATATAATAAGTGTTAGTATGTTAGAATTAATGTTTACTGAAAATAAGCACAGAACTGAAGGCTGAATGTTACAAAAACTTTGAACCCCCTGTTCAAAACTTCATGTTTTGTTGATTTTCGAAGTAAAACTATGTCAGCACGTCCTCTACAGGGAGCAAACTGGAATATGACATTTTTCTGCACAATTTATGTTCATATGCTGACTTTAACGTACAGGTTGATTCAAAATGATTTATTTCACTTGTAAATCATTACAGAACAATGCAGTAAACTGTAAATGGTTTAATTGAGCATAAAGTTTATTATGTAATTGTACAAGTGCTCCTCCAGCTGTACAGACAACATCAACACCATAGTCAAACTCATCCCATACTGGATTGAGCGTGTCGGGTGTCGCTGCGCTCACGGCTCTTTCAGTGCGATTTCGGAGATGATCCAGTGTTGTGGAACCAGCGACGAACGCTCTGAGCTGTTGGAGCTTCACTGCTGACGAAAATTACGTTGCACAGTTATGACGGATTCACTCTTATTGAAGTGGAGAACGCAGAACGCTTTCTGCTCAGGGGTCTCATCTCCTCTCAGACTGAGGGGAGCCATCTTCCACTGACAGTCAGAAACTCTATGACCCCCTCTTTCAATTGGATTGTGATTGGTTCCTAGGAGCCTCACGGTTGTAAAAATATGGCGCTTTGAAATCGGATGAATCTTTTTGAATCACCCTGTATTGGGAAATCATGTTAAATTCAGCAAATAAGCAGTAATTGTGTATTGAAAGCAGTGTGTTCTCAGTGCAGGACGTGTTCACTTAAACGTTTTAGTTTACACTTAAAGAATCGACAAAATATGGCATTTGGCCAAACTTTTGCACCCGACTGAAAGTATATTCAGATTGTGTGTGTGTGTGTGTGTGTGTGTGTGTGTGTGTGTGTGTGTGTGTGTTCTCTCCTCAGTCCACCCCGTCCCGTTCAAAACAGCATGAATGACTCAGTCACGCCCCCCTCTGAAGGCCACACCCCCATCAAAAGGTGAGTGCACTGGAGATATGTGGCAGGAGTTGAGATGTTCTTTGACAGAATATTCTGCTGACCGCTGACCGCTGCCGTCGGTGCTGATGGTGGCTGAATTTTTGCTCACTGCTCCATTAAAAACAATGGAAAATCTGGTTTGCTGTCAACCACCAATATGAACACAGAGCATGAGAGAGTAAGCAGCACAGGTGTGTGTGTGTGTGTGTGTGTGTGTGAGTGTGTGTGTGTGTGTGTGTGTGTGCTCAGAAGTGTGTATTTTCATGTCATCGTTTTCATTTTAGCGAGTTTTCATCCAGCCAGTCATCTTGTGTCCTTCACTCATTGAGTATGATTGACATTTATCATGTTTTTCTCACTTTTTGCTATCAAAGCAGAAAGTAAGTGAAGACTCTACACTGTTGAGCCTGTCAGAGTGTAAATCTTCCTTTACAGAGAACAGACTTCCGCACATGAATAAAACACACACACAAAAAAAAACATTATTAGGTTTTTCTTTCATTCATCATTTCATTCACTTGTTCTTTTCTATGTTTCTGTCTTGTGTGTGTGTGTGTGTGTGTGTGTGTGTGTGTGTGTGTGTGTGTGTGTAAGTAGCGTGCAGGGTATAGCTGCTGCTCAGCGTATGAATGAGGAACACGCATTGATTGCAGCTTATGTGGACAAACTCCGGACGAGCCCACGGTGAGAGTGTGTGTGTGTGAGTGTGTGTGAGTGTGTGTTTGTGTTTGTGTGTGTGTAGGTGAGACAGTGAGGGGAAAACAAGTATTCAAACACTTTTGTTTTTGTTATATATATATATCCTTCAAATGTATGCACATCTTTTGACTTTGAACTTATGAACAAAAAAGCATGTATTCATAAACGTAAATCAAGATACATTTTCAAAACTGAATCGGTACGTTATACCAGTTATCCCAGGGTTTCAGTCATGTGATTTTTCTGTTGTTGGAGAAACATAAACGTTAAATATCAGACTGAATGTTGTGGGTCGGAAAACGACGTCGTGTTTCGACAGACGTGATTCTGTAAGTTTGCTAGTGCAGTTAGTGCAGAGTTCAGCTCCAGTCCTGAAACCCCTGCACTGCATAACTGTGGTTTCCTGGTTAAAATACCTGATATTATTAGCTGATTAATCCCTTCTTGAGCTGAACGAGGTGTGAACAGCACTGATATAGTGCAGCGGCTCCAAGCCTGAAATCTGAAACACTGAACAAGATTTGTTTTTAACCTTTATGTAAACTTTTTTATTAATACACATCATTTTTTCATATATAAGTGCAAAGTAACTGGAAATACATTAAATAACAAAAGCAAAATGCTGAGTACTTGTTTCTCCTCATTGTCTGTATGTTTACAGTGTATTTTTGACCGTTATGATTCACGACGGCTTCATTATTATGTATTATAGTTCAGTGTGTGTGTTTTCAGTGCGCTGGACAGTCCCAGTCGAATGGACGAGGAGCACCGGCTAATCGCCCGATACACAGCTCGGTTGGCAGCTGACCCCAGCAACGCAGCCGTGAGTTTCAGACCATTACATTTCTTCAGTACCTCAGAGACTCGACTCAAACTCACACAGCAGAGACTCTAGACTCAACACTGACCCAAACCCTAGAAAATCGAGACTCGATTCATGCTTGCACTGCAGACTCGAGACTCGACTCGTACTCGCAGGTCAGAGACTGGACACTGACTTGAAGCCTAGAAACTCTACACTGGACTCACACGGCAGAGACTTGAGATTCGACTTGAGATTCGACTTGAACTAACATGGCAGAGACTCGACTCGAGAAACTCGAGGCTCGACTCGCACAGTAGAGAAGACTTGACACTGGTGTAAATTATAGAAACGAGTTGACTCAGACTTGCACTGCAGAGACTCTGCTCTGACTCGAACCGGCAGTAGAGACTCAAGACTTGACTTAAACTCCCACGGCAGAGACTTAACACTGACTCTAACCCTAGAAACCCGAGACTCGACTCAAACTCGCATGGCAGAGACTCGACTTGAATTCTAGAAACTCTAGAATCAACTTGTACTTGCATGGTAGAGACTCGACACTGACTCAAACCCTAGAACCTCTAGATTCGACTCATACTCGCATGGCAGAGACTTGAGACTTGACCCGAACCCTAGAAACTCTACATTTGACTCGAACTCGCATGGCAGACAATCTACACTGACTTGAACCCTGGAAACTCTAGACTTGACTCATAATCACATGGCACAGACTTGAGGCCTGACTTGAACCCTGCAAACCCGAGACTCGCCTCAAACTCACATGGCAGAGACTTGAACTCTTAAAAACTCTAGACTCACACACCAGAGACTCAACTCGAATTCACACAGCAGAGACTCAGAACTCAAACTCTTATGGCAAAAGCTCTAGACTCGACTCGGACTTGCACGGCAGAGACTCGAAACTTGATTTGAATTTCCACCCCAGAGAATCATGTCAGGTAAACATACATGCTGTACCAAACTGTACAGGTCTAGTGATTGACATACCAAATTGGGGATTGCTGTAAAGAAAACTGAGGTCAGGTGATTTTACTGCCCAGTCAAATAAGCCCGTAGTAAATAAGCCTTAGGATACATGGAAGACATTGGAGAGTCAACACACACATCATCAGGCACATCTCTGCCACAGTGTCGCTCTCCATCTCCAGACATCCACAAATGTAGTCATACACACTCATTCTTTCCCAGCTCACTCACTCAGAATAAACAAGGAGAAGCACATCTGCACAACCACGACCCATTCAAGACTGCAGCAGACTGACTTGTCATGAAAGGACATTTGAACACTTGAACACACATGGCAGTGTTTTCTGAGCTCTAACACACCTGACTCAACTCTCAGCTTGTTATCAGGTTTCTTGTGAGGTTAAAATTGGTGCGGTGAAGCAGATAAACATGGGTTTAAGGCCATTACACACCAAACATGACCTAAAATAAACAGCACAAAATTGTTGAACATGATTTTTCACATCAGAACTACACAAACCAGTTTGTATTGGAATTTCACTGTGTTTAAGGGCAGTTTCACCCTTTTTTTGAGCATGTCTGCATAATTCAATGGTTCATGTAAACAAAGTCACACAGAGTGTTTTGAGAAACTTACCACTTTCTTTACAGTGGTGGTGATAGGAACCAGGGGTCACCATGACTACAACACAGATATAGACATTTCATTTACTATCCAAAACCACCAGAGAACCTTCGGAGTTTATATATGAAATGTTGATGATGGTAAAATAGTGTTAAATAAAAAAAAAATAATAATAATTTTTTTGGCTATTTTGCTGTACAACACCCTGCAAGTCCCCCTCCGCTATGAATGTTTCTTAAAAAATGTTTTAGGCCAAAATCTGATCTCAGAACTATTATATGTCACAGACATCAGGCAGCATATTTACAATTTACAATCAATTTCTTTAATAACTTTCTGGGAGGGAGTTTTTAGAGGTGGATGTCTGGTTCCTATCACCACCACTGTGAACAATTCTGACTCAGCAAGTTTCTCTAGAACTGAGCATTTCACACCAAACCACTCTGAAGGACCTTTTCACATCTTAACTATTTAATTATGCAGAAATTTTGCAGAGTTACCCTGTAATGCTGTAAAAAAAAACCATAACTGCAGTTTGAGCTGCTAATCTTTTAGAAATTTGTCAAAATGTTTCACTTACTGTGATGGTCAGTGTGCTGGTTATTAGTTGTGCAGGTGTATGAAATAATTAATTGATGCTCTGAGTATAAAGGCCTTTTCATCTGGACACCACTGTCTGTCCTGCTCTGTTTCAGCAGACGCCTCAGCAGCTCAGCTTTGATGCTAACAAGCAGCAACGGCAGCTAATAGCAGAACTGGAAAACAAAAACAGGTAAAACATGCACAAAACACAGCACTCAGCACAGCTGAGGTCTGCATGTCTACAATGCCTATTTTCATAGTTCAAGCATTTGGATGTAAACAAAGGCTTAATCCCATTTCACCCCTTCACCCCTACCACTCAGCCCTTAGCTCTCCATTTTGTGTGTTTACTTCTATGAGTATGATGTCCTGATTCTTGTTGAGATAGAGGGGCAGGGCGAAGTGTTGGGGCTACATGACCCTCCAAACGGAGGTTTTTCAGAGACTCCAAACAGAGTGATATGAGGAAAAAAGAAGAAATGCCAAAATGGAGCACAAGAGACCAAAGAAACCCACGAATGTGAAAATTTTTAACTGTTAAAAAGTTACAGTAACTATTCTATTATCTTAGTTTAAGGTTGTTTGAATGTATTATGTCCCTTTTTTCATAATGAGCCTAAAAAATCACTAGTAGTAGCTGATGTCTCAGCAGCTAGCTCGCTAAATTTCCCATTCCACCTTAAATGGTCCAGCAGTTACATTCTGGCACCTCAGGCATCAGAACTGCTGCTACATTTAAGGTGAAACAGGAAAATTCAAATAAAAATCTGGCCAATATCTGACTTCAGCTTCATATCACTGAAGAATTAGGGGTGTGTGATAATAAATAATTGCCCCTCTTTGAAGGCATATGATGCCCTAAATGTAACTAAAGCCCAGCAGTGAGGAGCTGAACTTTACCCTCCTCTGCTGTCACTGCAGACTGGCAGGGTCGCCTACAGAGCAGCGCTAGTAGCTGTTAATGAAGTGATGGTCTTTTTATTTGAGGGTCCCTTTTCAGAGGGAAGATTTCAACCACTACCCCTGTAACTCAGTTCCAAGGGGCAAGGAGACACTCGAAAACAAGGGGTAGGGGTAGAAATAGGAAATGGGACTGGACCGAAGTCATTCAGAGTGGTTTGGTGTGTGTTGTAAGGCAAAAGAAGTTCTAAGGGCCCCAAAGAAAACTTCTTTTTTTCAGGTTTAGCACTATTTTCCCATCATCAACATTCCATATAAACTCAGAAGACTCTGGTTTCCTGGTTCCTATCACCACCACTGTAAAGAAATCTGAACCATTTCACACCAAACCACTCTGAATGACCCTGTTTACGTCTTAATGATTAAATTACGCAGATATTTTGAGAAATTGGTGGAGTTCCCCTTTTAATCATACTTCTTCCAAAGTATAACACTGTTATAATTCATCTGAAGTGATGGTGAAAAAGCTGATGTGGTTGTGTCTGTGTAGGGAGATCCTGCAGGAGATCCAGCGTTTGCGTTTGGAGCACGAACAAGCGTCCCAGCCCACTCCAGAGAAAGCCCAGCAGAACCCCACCCTGCTGGCTGAACTCAGGCTGCTCAGGTGACTCCAGCACAGGATATGAGGGGTGCAGCTGTGATCTATGAAGCTGTTTTTATTTATTTAATAGGCCAGCCGCTTAATTTAATTAATATTCAGACCGTTGAACATTCTGACCTCTCACTTCACCCCCTCACGTCACCGTCATCAGAGTCCCATCTGTGCAGCAAGCGGGTTCTTCTTTTTATGTTGCAGTGAAATAACAGAAGCCTTTTTACAAATATCCACAGTCGCATTGTTTAGAGTTCGTTTTATTAAGAAACATTAAACAAAAAGTCAGTAATTTATCATGTGAAGGGTTTCTGCAGCCCCCCACACCCCTTATGCTGTTAGATAGGAATCAGTACAGGTTATAATGTGGTAATGTAGTAACTGATAACTGATGCTAATGAGTAACTGTGTGTGTGTGTGTGTGTGTGTGTGTGTGTGTGTGTGTGTGTGTGTGTGTGTGTGTGTGTGTGTGTGCAGGCAGAGGAAGGATGAGTTGGAGCAGAGGATGTCTGCTCTGCAGGAGAGCCGGAGGGAGCTAATGGTGCAGCTAGAGGGGCTGATGAAACTGCTGAAGGTACACGGACTCACAGCACTCACTCCTGCTGGAAACGTGCTTTCTGTAAATGAGCAAACCTGGATTGCACAATGGTGGACATCACTGCTGCACTATAACCCCCCCCCATCACCTCCCCCTCCACCCTTTGTGAGGTGTCCTCCTTTTATTTTGTTTCTTTTTTTTATTGCTGAGTGTTTTTTACTGGTTGGACTGTGTGATTGGACCCGTTATAGTTGAGAACAAGGCCTGAGATCTGGATCTGGATCTGGCACCTACAGTAGACTACACACTACACTACCTACACTATACGATTTTTTTTGCCCGATTTTAACCCCGATTCGCCCCTTGCAGCAATTTTTCACAATCTGAAGTGATTCTCCGGCCGGGAACTCGATCAGAAGCGACTGACGGATGATCTGTTAGTGTGATCTTTGACCCTCCGATATTATCAAACATGTTTACAACTTCTGAGTCCTGCAGTTTGAGAAGGTCAGAGATTCACTCAACGAGTGATTCAAACAGCCAACCAGAGAGCTAGAAGAGCAGAGAAACAGGCGAAGAGACATGCATGAACAGACATGAGACAGCAGAGCTGAGTGTAAAACACAGGCAGATAAGAGTCGATATCGTGTTTATAACGTTGGATCCAGACGTCACGTCACTCTCTTACAGTCTCAGCTCAGCTGCCAGTTTGCTCAGCTCTACTGTGATATCAGCGTTTCTCACCACATATTAAACCCCAGTTCGCGCTTTCGCTGCGCATAAAAGCACAAACAGGTCCAGAAAGTTCAGCTCTGTTTGTGTCGTGTGATCTGAGGAGTTCTGGGAGTTTGAGTTCTTATTCGTAGCCCAAACTGGTTGTGTGTGTTATTCTCTCTCTTTGCCCTGTCGTCTAGTCTGAGCGCCTGACGACAAAGAAGACAGGAAACTCTGTGACAAACTGACGTTAAGTTTGTGATGCTCTCCGTTTAAGCTGTGTACTGTACGCCCAGCCTTAGTGGATCTGGCACCTTGTTCACATATTAAATACTTTTTTAAAATATCACCATAAGATTTCCTCCAAAACAGCTCAGTATATGTGACGCACAATGCAGAACAGTTTGCTAAACAGTAGAATGCTGTGTGTTGCCGTGTGTCATGGTACGCACACTGTTTCACTTTAAACGTCTGTTTGCAGCGCAGTTAAGAAAACAACAATGACGCTGTTTATCACTCGCAAATGCGCAGCTACTGCTGCGATTATTCATCTCTCAAAAGGGCTGAGCTCAGTGGTGCTGGCTTCTGACATAGAATTCGTAACGAAACATGCATTAGAATCTGTTTTTTTAGCTTCCAGAAACACTTGGATTTAATCGGATCTTGTTTGTTTGTTTGTTTATTTGTTTGTTTGTTTGTTTGTTATTTTCGGAGACTCCCCAGGCCCCACAGAATTGCCGAAAATTAATTTTCAAATTAAGTCCCAGTTAAAAAGACAATAAACGTGTGTTCACAAACATTAGTAGTGCAGTAGTGCAGTACACTATAGTGCACACAAGTACACATTGACTCACTAGAGTTCAAGCACACATGAATACATACACTTACACGTACAGCCACTAGAGGGCACCAGCTGTCTGAACTCGTCTGTTCTCCTCCTCTCTCTCCGTTTACTTTTCATGTCTGGTTGTGTCACTTCTTTTCCTTCATTCATTCTCTCACTCTTCACTCCTCTGAATAACAGGTTAGACTGTGTGTTTTATTCTTTTAATCTCTTCTTCTCTCACTCTGTTCTTCTTTTCCTCTTTTCCGCCTCTCTGCTGTCCGCTGTAGGAAGAGGAGCAGAGGCAGGCTGTAAGTTTCCTTACACACCTCTGTGTTTGTGTGTTGTGGTCTCCTCTTTCTCACATACTAGTTCTTTTTTGATGATTAATCAAGTCAGCAGTTTGGGCTTTTTAATTTTGCAGAGCTTTCAAAAAAATTACTATTCTGAAAAAATATCATAGCTGGCCAAAGATAACAAGTATCTCCAAAATGGTCTCTTTACATGAGAGGGCAAAAATGTTCTTTGCTTTAATGTAACTTAACGTAAAGATATTTTATTCAAAACAATTTTGGAGCATGCCGTAATCCATTCATCATGAAATTTTCACACAGTGTAAAAGTTGAAAATGAAAAATCATCAAAAATTGCAATTTCTTTTTCCATTTTTTTATTATTTTTTGGAAGGTGACACTAAAAAGGAAGCATACACTGTAAATACACACATAAATATGTGGCAAAAATGTATGTGTGAGTGTGTAAATAATAAAATATGTGAGAGACCGAGAGAATTAGAGAATCTAAAATATGTGTTATCAGGGTATCTGAGGGTATCAGCAAAATCAACTAAATGTTTTCCAAAGTTATTTTTAAGAAATCTTTAGTACTGTGTCCTGGTATTTCATAGCAGAATGTAATGTAGAAGTCTGCATTTGTTAAGTACTCATAGCACCACTACTAATATAACACTATTTTCTGGTAGCTGAATGTTGTTGGAGTAGCCTGTTACCTTTTTAGCTGTTTAATTTAGGCCTAAAAAACATTTAATTTCATATACAGAATTACAAACATACATGTTTTAGTGAGATCCTGCTGGTGTGGGTTTCCCCTCTTTCAGTGAGGCTTACAAAAGCAAGTGCTAATGGCTCCCTCTTGTGGAGAATCTGCTAAACACACCTTTTAATGACCTGCGGATATGTACTTGGGATGTGTATGCAGACTAACGTAGATATTCAAGTATCTGTGAGAGTTCAGGAACGAATATCAGACTTCAGACAAAAGAAGTGACGTTCCAAAACACAGACAATGAAAACAATACACTAACTTTTTTCTTTCTTTTTGATTTTTAATTTAGAAAATAATCAGAGAATTTTTTTTTTCCTGGCAAAAAAATGTGCACATTTTATTGATTATTATTGTAGTCAATATTATTAATCCAGTTTGAGTCGTCACCTTCAGATCGATGCATCAGATGCATTTTTATATTCCTAATAGTTATGCTTACAGCATATTCGTTATAATAATCCGTATCTCTTTCTCCGTCAGTCTCAGGCAGCTGGCTCTCCTCAGACCTCACCTGGCCAAGGCTCTTCTCGTCCAATCCCCATGCCCATACGCTCTGCAGGCACCACCCCAACCCACACAGGCCACGCCCCCTCCCACATGCCCCAGGACTCTCTGGCTGGAGTGGGCGGAGACGTGCAGGAGGCTTTTGCTCAGGGTGAGAAAAAAAAAACATGTTCTTCATTCTGCTTGAAAAATCTGTCAAAAATCATTCGGCCAACACGTTTCTGAAGTTAAGTCATCCCAAAAAAACGTTGCTTGCGTTGTTTCTGAGGGGTTTCTTCCATTTTTATAGACCACAGTAAGTCAGAAACCACATAAGCAGGTTTATTAGAGGCTGCTGAACAAACTTGGTTTGAGGAGTGATGCTAATTGGTGGGGAGCTTCCATTACATGTTAACTGCATTAGCCCCACAGCTCCAGTGCTAAAACTAAAGAAGCCAGTTTCAGACAGTAGACGTGTCTGGGCTGATCGACTATGTTTGAGGTAAGAGGGGGGAAACTGGAATTTGCATCGTGACACTTGGTTCCTATCACCACCACAGTAAAGACATCTGAGTCAGTAAGTTTCTCTACAGTGAACCATTTCACATCAAACTCTCACCACTCTGAATGACTTTGTTTACATTACAAGACGCTGATTTATTAAAATTTTTAAAAAATAGTGGAGTTCCCCTTTAAAGTTCATACAGTTCACTTCCCAGCCCAAAGACAGCCTGAATTTGAGTAGATGAACTATGAGAGCATATATTACAGTGATTGTGATGCTCTGTTTGGAATAAATTTGAGGACTGTAGTAACAAAATATCAGGTAAGCCCTATTTGGATGGGATTAGTTTTACAAGGGGAGGTGGGGTAAAGCCAGTTTACCTCAGGATGTCTGTAATGTTTATGAGCGATTTGCACAGGATGAGAAATCTATAAGCTATAATGACAGAGATGGGAGTGGCTACTCGATTTACATGCCAGCTTTAATCCAGAAAAGAGTAAAAAAAAGATGGTAAAGCATTTAATTTGACCAATACTGGGTTCACCCTAACCATTTACCCCGCTGTCTTTTAGGGCCACTGTTAATAAAAAATAAAAACAGTAGACTTCGAGAAAAAAGTAGTAATATTTCCAGAATAAAGTCGTACTATTTCGAGAAAAAACTCCTAATATTTAGATAAATAAAAGTCGGAGAATTACAACATTGAAGTGGCATTAATACCAGGAAAGGCCGCAGTATTGTGCCCAAAGTGTTAAATGAGGGGTGGTGAGTTGGTGGAGTTCTACTTTCATATCGATTCACCCATAAAGAAACACTCAGTCTCCCTGTCTCTCCTGCACATCAGCACCAGCCTGTTATTAGTATAAGAACTGGCTGAAACGGCTGAGCAGGAAACTGTGTTTATCTAGAATAGAGAGCCAGACAGACTCGGAGGAAACTGTCTGTCTCTGTTGTTGAAGGAGAACCGCAGACAGGGTCGTCTACACGCTATCGGGGGCTACATCTCCCCCCATTCAAAGAGGGCATGAAGTTTCACAGACAGTGAGAATGATGATCAAAATGATCCACAGAGAGACAGGAGTGAGTGGAGCTCCGGCGCCAGTACAGCAACCAAGACCCCAACATGTTATGGCAGCCCCCCTACAGTTAGCCCCCCTACAGTTAGCCCACCTTATCCTCCAAATATTACGACTTTTTTTCTCTGAATATTACGACTTTTTTGTCTGAGTATTACGACTTTTTTTCTCAAAATATTACGACTTTTTTTGTCTGAATATTACGACTTTTTTCTCGAAATATTACGACTTTATTCTCAAAGTCTACTATTTTTATTTTTATTAACAGTGGCCCTAAAACGCCGTCATACTTAAGTGGATGGTTTTCTTGGCCAAAATAACAGACCCGGTCCGGATTCACGAAAGTGTCTTAAGAAAGAAAATCTTTATAAATGTATAAATTCCTAAGAAAAAAGTTCTCGTCTTAAGAACTTAAGAATTTTTTTCTTAACTATTTTCCCAAGTATAATTCTAAGAACAAGTGGTGTTCTTGAAAAACATTGTGCCTCGTTCTCCAGAACCTTCCCTCGTTTTTTTCTAAATGTGTTCTTGAGAAAGGAAAGAAAAAGTCTACGTCAGATTCACGACGTGCTTTTAAAGCGCAGAACTGTTCTCACCTTTGTGCTCTTGACTGTGTGTAGATTCTGTTCTTACCTGAGAACAAATCCCAAATCAGAAAACACTGGTGAACGTCAGAATCTTCGTAAAAACTGCGTAAAGTGGGTTTTAAGAGGAGAGCGGTTGGTGAATGAGGCCCACTGTGTACTTAAATGTTGTCTTAACCTCACGACAGCCTCACACTTGTCTTAGGCTGTAAGAGTTGACGAGGTGAGAGTCTAAACCAGGGGTGTCAAACTCAACCACTAAAAGAGCCATATTAAAAAATGTCGACAGATCTGAGAGTCAGAGAACGACGATGTTTGTATTTCATTTTTAATTAATGTAGTGCTGTAACCCGAACTGACCACTGCTTAGTCAACATACAGGCACTTGTTGTAGGCCTTGAAATATTACATGAATACTTGAAATATTTAATATTTAAACGTCCCCTGTAACTGCTGTCCCATAGACTGTTGTTGGGGTAGGAGAGTCAGAGCGCATATTACGCTGCAGTGCATGCTGGGAACCGTAGTGCAGTGCATCGTGAAACAGGCTAATATTAATCGAAAATTAAAATACTTCTGCGGGCCAGATAGGATTGTGTCGTGGGCCTGATCTGACCCGCGGGCCTTGTTTTTTGACACATGGGGTCTAAACGAACGCTGCCTCTCCTGCTCCTCATCCTCGTCTCTTGCTTTTTTCCGCCGTCACCCCACAATTATTGTTCCTTCTAGGGAGGATTTTTTTCCTGTCGGCTGTTTCGTCCTCCATCATTTCCAGTTCTTGTTAACTATTTTTTTTTTAAAACCTTGGTTTATGTTTTTCCTCCATTTTGCTCCTCTGAGTGGATTAAATAGTGGAAATAACAGTTAAAACAAATCAAAAATGTATCTCACGGCGTTTATGGTAAGCTGTGAAATGCACCAGAGCCCACATGAGAAAACAATGAAGACTTAAGAAAATCTTGAGGAAATAATTAAAATAATATTTGAGGACTTTACATTTTTTCGAGAATTGCATTTAAGAACATTCTTACGAACTTCTCAGTGTTTGTCTTAAGAACCTTCGCAAGTTTTTTTCTTAAGAAAGCTTTCGTGAATCCGAGCTGCATTGGTAGAAAATAATCGCAGTTTAAATCACAATTACAGTATCGAACAGAAAAATCATAATTAGATATTTTCCCCAAATCGTTCAGCCCTATCCTGATGGGGACCGAGCTGATGGACCCAGCATGAGGGTGAAGGAAGTCGAGTAAGAACTCGCAGAAAAAAGTCGTTTGGTTCTGATGGAAGATTCCAGAGAAAACAAGAGGTTTAAGTGATAAGGTGTAAGAAATCCTGCTTAATCTGACCAGAAACATGCATTAACAAAAGATCAGTTTTGATTCCGAGTTGACTTTACAGCCATAATAAAGCCCCAACTGTCTCTGCTCAAAACTCTTCACCCCCACTCTGTTATACACATTGCTGCACTTTCTCAATGATCAACTGGTTCAGTTATACACTCTGTTACTGCAGTGGAACAACCTCTTAATAATCTTTAAACCAGTGTCTCTCTCTCTCTCTCTCTCTCTCTCTCTCTCTGTGTTGCAGGAGCACGTAGGAACCTGCGTAATGATCTTCTAGTGGCAGCTGACTCCATCACCAACACCATGTCCTCTTTAGTCAAGGAGTTGCACACTGGTAAGATAAATATCTGCTGTCGGAACAAAACCTCACATCTCCAAAATGGTAACTTTACAGGAGAAGGAAAAAACACACTTTACTTTCAATGTAAGTCAATGGAACCAGACTTCTTTCCGAGTCATTTTGGGCCGTTTCTTTTGGTCCATTCATCATGAAATTTACACACAATGTAAAGAACAACAGGTATTTTCAAATTATGTCAACAACTGAAAAATGGACAAAAATGGAGATATGAGTGTTTTGTTCTGACAGCAGCGAAATACTTATGATGCACCATGTAATGTTAGAGTTACAGCTGCTGCTGTTACTACTGAAATGCATACATAGTTAATTACATAATTAGATAAAGAACTATTTACATTTACATTTGGCTTACGTTGAGTCCGCACTGACATTTTTGTTCTGGTGCAGAGTCAAAAATGACAAAAACATAGCAGTGGTTTATCTTTCTGCAAAACAAGGTTGTATGCAAACTTTCAAATTCAAATCAAATTCAAATCATAACAAAACATCTCTTCTTTTATTTACACACCAATGTGGTATGTAGGTTATGAATCTTTGCTTTCCACGGTCTCTCTGCTGCCTTCAGTGAGCTACGAGTGAGAAATAATTCAAATAAAATGACAGCATGTTTTTGTTAGCGACTATATCTGCGTCGTCTACCTGGCTGTGGATAAATGAGTTAAACTCATCAGACCTTTTAACATTTTATCCATAGCTGTGGTACATTTTATCTATAGATATGGTACATTTTATCCACAGCTATGGTACATTTTATCCATAGCTATGGTCCATTTTTATCCATAGCTATGATACATTTTATCCATAGCTATGGTCCATTTTTATCCATAGCTATGGAACATTTTATCCATAGCTATGGTCCATTTTTATCCATAGCTGTGGTCCATTTTTATCCACAGCTATGGTGCATTTTAACCATAGCTGTGGAACATTTTATCCATAGCTATGGTCCATTTTTATCCATAGCTATGGTCCATTTTTATCCATTTTATCTATAGCTATAGTACAGTTTTATATATAGTTTTATCCACAGCTATGGTGCATTTTTAACCATAGCTATGGAACATTTTATCCATAGCTATGGTCCATTTTTATCCATAGCTATGGTCCATTTTTATCCATTTTATCTATAGCTATGGTACAGTTTTATATATAGTTTTATCCACAGCTATGGTGCATTTTTAACCATAGCTATGGAACATTTTATCCATAGCTATGGTCTATTTTTATCCATAGCTATGGTCTATTTTTATCCATAGCTGTGGTCCATTTTTATCCATTTTATCTATAGCCATGGTACATTTTATCTATAGCTATGGTACATTTTATCCATAGCTATGGTCTATTTTTATCCATAGCTATGGTCCATTTTTATCCATAGCTATGGTCCATTTTTATCCATTTTATCTATAGCTATGGTACATTTTATCCATAGCTATGGTCTATTTTTATCCATAGCTATGGTCCATTTTTATCCATTTTATCTATAGCTATGGTACATTTTATCTATAGCTATGGTCTATTTTTATCCATAGCTATGGTCCATTTTTATCCATAGCTATGGTCCATTTTTATCCATTTTATCTATAGCTATGGTACATTTTATCCATAGCTATGGTCTATTTTTATCCATAGCTATGGTCCATTTTTATCCATTTTATCTATAGCTATGGTACATTTTATCCATAGCTATGGTACATTTTATCCATAGCTATGGTACATTTTATCTATAGCTTTGGTAAATACTTTTTAATAGATTTTTATATTTATGTTTTATAGTTTAAATGGTTTTAACTAACTTTGTCACCAGAGCCAAAAGGTTAAAGTGTTTAATGGATCTTGAATGCAGATACAGATACTGTACTCACACAGCCGTATATGTAAACATGCACAGCTGACTGACTGTGATGTCTGTGTTTGTGTTTGTGTTTTCGTGTGTAGTGGAGGATGGAGGGGATGAAGAAGATGAGAGATTACAGAATGGGAAGGACAGAGGTACTTTAACCGCATTACCTAGAACTGTTTTGAAGCACTAGATGTAACGTAGTGCTATTAAAGGGGAACTCCACTGATTTTTTTAAGTTTCTGTATATATAAATCACTGCTGATGGAAACAAAACCTTGAATCTCCATTTTTGTCATTTTTCAGTTTTTGACATAATTTGAAAATGCCTGTTATCCTGTACATTGTGTGAAAATTTCATGATGAACGGACCAAAAGCAACAACCCAGAATGACTTGGGGAAAAAAGTCTGGTTCCATTGACTTACATTAAAAGTAAATGTATGTTTTTTCCTTCTCCTGTAAAGTTACCATTTTGGAGATACGAGGTTTTGTTCCGACAACAGCAAAATGATTAAGATATTAAGTCATTTAAAGTGGTTTGGTGTGAAACGCTCTAGAGAAACTTACAGAGTCAGAACTGTTCACAGTGGTGGTGATAGGAACCAGACGTCCACCTCTAAAAGCTCCCTCACAGAAAGTTACTACATGAAATGGTATGAATTTGAGACATTTACAGTAATTTTCAAAAGATTTTGGCCTAAAACGTCCTTTTTAAAACACATTCATGCTGGAGGTGATACATGCAGGGTGTCATGAGGCAAAATAGCTCCCAAAGAAAACAGCTTTATTGCTATTTTATTATCATTAACATATAAAGCTCAGAAAACACACATAGGTTTGTTGGTATTTTTGGATAGAAAATAAAACATCTTTGTTTTGTAGACATGGTGACCCCTGGTTCCTATTACCACCACTGTAAAGTTAAGAATTGCCTGAATGTAGCATTCTCAACAACAGAATGATGTAGAAATTTGAAATATTGGTGGAATTCCCCTTTAGGCACCCAAAGACAACATTCCCTAGAAACATCAGTGAATTCTAAATCACATGTATGATAAACTAGCAATTATATCTGCAGCTGAGAAGTCAAAAAAATGTAATTATTATTATTGGTATTGATATTGAAATTATGAGCTGCAAATGGACTGTAATTACTGTATTACTGTAAGTATACATTGTCAGAAAAGTAAAAAAAAAAAAAAAGTTAATCTGAGAATAAAAAGCAATACAGTATAAACTTCAGCCTGGCACAGCTGAATATTGTGTGTATATATATTTGAATACTTTTATTAATGTTTTAAATGTTTTTATAACTTTTTTTCAATGTAATTAAAGGGAACCAGTTGCTCAGGTTGTCAGGTCGATATTAGGCCGTGAAGCCGGTGTGTCTGGCGTGTGTCTGTGCCGCGTTAGCGAGCTCATTAAGCCTTAATTACTCGTTAGTATTAATGAGGGAGATGTTTACGAGCGAGGTGGGGTAGCGGGTGTTTTTTTAACTACTTCCTGCCAGTCAGAAGGGCCTCAGACACAGAGAGAGCGCTCAGGGCTTTATGGGGCGGCTCTCACTGGGAACCAGCCTCATTACACCCGCTCCCTCCATCCATTCCCTCATTCCTCCATCCATCCATCCATCCCCCCCTCCATGTGTTCATTAGGTTTGTGAGTTATTCCCTTTACCTTACTGAAGCCTCTGGACTGCACACACGTCTTCACTGATTGGACGCTTAAACTTTTATCATTCCACAACTTTCACGTTACGTTAAGTTTTATATTGTGTATTAAAGAGCTCACCTGCTTAATTTTTATATTTTATATTTATCCCTTATAAATGTCCATCATAACATTTATGGTTTTTTCTCATAAAAACAGTTGTAATTCATTTTTCACTGTTTTCTCAGCTCTGTTAAACAGAACTCCCTGCACTGCGTCTCATTCAGAATGCAGTCCTGACGGAAACGTTCCTTATACGTTTGGTATGAATGGCTGGAGCCAACCTGCTATAGGCTGGTTAGGTGGATTTATGTAAATGTGTTTCATGACATCACAAAAACCAGGCTGTTTTTGTAGCTTGTCTTCCTTATAAGGACTGTATGGCCTGAGAAGTGAACAGTATATTTTGAAATTTTAACAGTGTTTTATGTGAAACATCACACTGTCTTTTTTTTCTAGAACACCTTAGCAACCACATAGGATAACAGCAATGGCTTAGCAACACCTTAGCGACCATCTGAGATACCATAGCAATGACCTAGTAATACTTTAGCAACCGCCTGGGATACCATAGTAATGGCCTAGTAACACCTTAGCAACCACCTTGCATAACGAACCAATGGCCTAGCAACACCTTAGCAACCATCTGGCATAACATACCAACGGCCTAGCAACACCTTAGCAACTACCTTGCATAACGTACCAATGGCCTAGCAACAACTTGGGATACCATTGCAATGGCCTAGCAACACATTAGTAACTAGCTTGCATAACGAACCAATGGCCTAGCAACACCTTAGCAACCACCTTGCATAACGTACCAATGGCCTAGCAACACCTTAGCAACCACCTTGCATAACATACCAATGGCCTAGCAACACCTTAGCAACCACTTTGGATAACATGGCAACATCTTAGAAACCGCCTTGGATAACATAGCAATGGCCAAGCGACACCCTAGCAACCACCATGGATACCACATCAACAGCCTAGTAACAACTTAGCAACCACTTAGGATAACATAGCAATGAGAAGCAGCTCCTTAGCAACCACCTGAAACAGCTTTGTCAATCCAGCCTAAAGTTTGTTCATGATCTTCCCCTTCTAGTGCGGAAATATGAAAAATTAAAATATTTACAGCGTTTAAAGGCTGTATTTGAACGCGAGCGTTACAGTCACTGATTCTATCAGAGAAACATGCAGCCAGGCCTCAGCCTGCACTACTCGGGATGGGTCGAAGGGTCAAACTAGGAACATGGTCTCATAATGAAGTTTTCTCAAGATATTATATTCTGAGTTTGTGCACCGTCACGCAGAACCGTGACCTGATTTTCATTCTGTTTTGCAGGCTAAGCCAAATGTGAAGCTAGCGATACCAAGTGAGTGTTCAAGGCCACTTGTTTGAATTTTTGTTTTTTCCTCTTGCATAATCTTCTCTTGTACGTTCTTAACCCCTAGGCCAGGGGTCGGCAACACAAACGTTAAGAAGAGCCGTTTTGTCCTTTCAACAAAAATCAAACCACTTTGGGGCCACAACGTTTTATGTTTATATAACCATCTTGGCTGTAAATATGTCTCAGTGTGTGCTGATGTACTAGTATAGGATTAAACATCTAATATAAACAAAAAACGCAGACTTACTTTGCTCTGCTTTAAACTTTAGCTCAGCTATAGCTGCTTTTCTCGCATCTCCAGCAGGAAACTTTTCCGGAAAAGTAGAACAGTTTCTTGTAAAATGTCTCTCAGCATTCGACTTTTTACGAGGCTGAAGTCGCTTCTCATTCTCCAACTTCTTGACTGAATTTTCCCGTTCCACCTTAAATGGTGCCTGAGGCGCCAGAATGTAACTGCAGCACCATTTAAGGTGGAACGGGAGAATTCGAACGAGAAGAATTCAAACTTCAGCTTTGCGACTTTTTTAGTGTTTGTCAGTTTCTCACTGCAGATTAAATGTATTAGGAAACCAGCTGGAGTGATTATAAAGGCAAATAAGTCCATTCGTCTCCAAATTATCGATGTTCGTCTTAAATCTCTCTCTTTGCCGTTTCGTTAGCTACTAGCTAGGTGAGACTGTTGTCTGTGTTGCTATGGTGACCAGCAGTCTGCGCTGATCTTCAGGGTTACAGGGTGAATCAGCAGTTCTACATTAACTCCAGAGTTTAAGACCATTTATTGTTAAACTGTGTTGAACGATCAGCAGAGCTTTATTTTACTGTAAAGGAGGATTATTTTATTATTACCTACGAATCTGATTCTGCTGTGGAGCCACAACAGGGACAGTAAAAGAGCTGCATGTTGCCGACCCCTGAGCTACAAGCCTGCAGTTATTATTGCCATTTTGCTGTTTTCCTTACTGTTAAATTTAGGCTCTTTATGGAGGGTGTGAACTTATTTTCACATAGAAAATCAACAAAATATGCCATCTGCACTTGCAGACTTGTGTACTCTACTGTAGGTCAGAGTGTCTCCTCTGTTTTTATGCCTGTGGTGGCTTTTAAACCGTTGTACTGTAATTCCAGGTGCGGTGATTGGACGGCAGAGAGCGATCGCTCGGGAGGCTCCACCCAAAGAAACCAGGCACATCATTCAGCCACTGCTGTCGCCATGGCAACATCACGTCAACCAAGCCTAGGGTTTAGTGGTGCTCCATCTTCTGGCTCGACCACTCAGAGGATAGTTTGAGGATGTGGGCAGGGGTGTCGCTGTGTCCACTGTTGGTCACTGTGGATGTTGTGTGTGTTTTCTTGTTGTTTCTTGTGTTTTGCTGAACAGCTCTTTCTTTAAGTAGTTTAGTTTGGTTTCGCTCGTTGATTTGGGAGTATTTCATTAGCGATTGCTGCGCCAAAAGGTATTGCAGAACTACTGATTAGGTCTAGTGACGATGTGCTCATGAGTGTCAGATTGATTGACAGCTCAAAGACGCACCCGTTAACGGTTTACAGAAAGTGACGTGGCTCGGTGGACGGAGTGAAGTGGTGATGGAGAGAGAAAGAAGGCAGGGAGGTGAAGGGAATTGAAAAGGATGGTTGAATTTATCAATGACAGGTTGATGACGGGTTGAGTAGGTTGTTTTGTGGCTGTGGTGATGTTGATTGGGGGGTCAAGTTGATGCAGATTAAAGAAAGACTTATTGCTGTATGACTGGTCTGCTTAAAGGGGAATTCCACCAAATTTTCAAAATTTCTACATAATTCAGTGGTTGAGATGTAAACAAAGTCATTCTGAGTGGTTTGAGGTGAAATCATTGATTGTAGAGACTCATTTCTTTACAGTGGTGGTGATAGAAATCAGGGGGTCGCCATGACTACAACACAAATTATAGGCATTTTATTTGCTGAGTTTTATATGTAATGTTAATAGTGATAAATCTGAAAAAATGTTTTCTTTGCATGACAACACCCTGCATATACACCATGAGCGGCTTTTTAAAAGTATGTTTTGGGCCGATATTTTCTCAGAACTGTCGTAAAACAATGAGTGTGTTTTACATGCACTTCATAATCCGATAACTGTCAGTAATCTGATCAACAAGTTTACATGCACCTGAGTAATCAGATAATGTGAAAAACGTAACGCAGCAGAAAACGTAACGTAAAAAAAATGGCTTTTTTTCAAAACATTGCGCCACTTTACCTGAAAATATGAACAAACATCATCTAGAAGATGAAGAATATTTAAATCCTTTATTTCGTCGAGCATGTTGTTGGTTTCAGCGTCGCTCCAAAAGTGTTTTGCTGCGTCTCGCGGTGATTCTGCTCGCTTATTTCCAGTATCAGTCTGTTTTCGCACATGCTCAGACTGAGAAATCCGAAAGAAATCAGAGTAAGAGTTTACATGCACTGAGAAATCTGATTACTGAGCTAAAATCCAGCTCTCTTTATTTCCGGAGTTAATCCTTTATCAGATTTCTAGACCTTACTCTGATCTAAGAAATCAGAGCGTGCTGTTTACCATTTGAATAATCAGATAACTGCAGAAATCCGATAATGATTGGATTATTGAGTGCGTGTAAACACAAGGTCTGAGGCATCAGTGTATTTGTAAATGTAATAACTGTGTGAGTTGGTAATTTTCTCTAGAACCACCCTGAATGACTTTGTGTACATCTCCATGATGGAATTATGTTAAACGTTTGAAAAACTGATGTAATTCCCCTTTTCTATGGAACAGAACCAAAAAAGGGGTCGATTGCTGTGCTGTTAATTTATTTTTTTGTGTTTTGCGTTAGATTTTATTTATTTTAATAGGACAGTTTTAAGCTTGTAGGTGTACATTTGAAAAGCGTTACGATTATGAGTTTATATGCTTGTTGTCCAGACAAACTGTGAGCCTGGTCTGCAGCTACGAAGTCAGCATTAACGCTCCACTGGCTTTATAGAGGAGCGAGGCTCAGACTGAAGAGTCTGGTCGTCATGAAGAATCATAAAGACTCGTATCTGCGCTGGAGTTTGTGTATATATTAAAGGAATGGAGTATTTAGTTTTATAGAAGCTGATTTTAGGTACAGATATAAAGACAGAGACTGAGAATATACTGTGGTTGGTCCTGAACTGGACTGCTGTACCCATGAGGTCTCGTTTTGTAGTTTTTAATCCAAGCACTGTTTGTAGTCCTTACATTTCAGGCTCTGTTGAGTGCACATTTCACACACACGCACACACACACACACATACAGCGGCGTGCAAAGGTTCGGGCACCCCGGTCAAATGACATAGTTTATTTGTGAGAATACAGAGAACACGCTTGAAGGGGAATTCCACTAAAATTTTAAAATATTTGTGCAATTCAATCATTGAGATGTAAACAGTCATTCAGAGTGGTTTGATATGAAATGGTTCATTGTAGAGACTCAGCGGTGGTGATATATGAACCAGGCGGCAACGTGACTACAACACGGATATAGCCGTTTTATTTACTATCCAAAACCACCAGTGAACCTACCAGGGAAGAGTCTTCTGAGTTTTATATGGAATGTTGATGATGGTAAAATAGTGGGATTTCAGGAAAAATAAGCTTTTCTTGGGATATTCATAACCATTTCATAAGATATGGGAGCTTTTAGAGGCATTAAACACTTAAGACATCTGGTTCCTATCACCACAACTGACTCTGCAACTTTTTTGAGCCATTTCGTATCAAGCCACTCTGAATGACTTTGTTCAAAATTTGCTGGAATTCTCCTTTAAATGTGGCATTTTTGCAGATTTTATTGCACAAGTTCTATTTCGCTGTTGTCGGAAGAAAACCTCGTATCACCAAAATGGTAACTTAACAGGAGAAGGAAAAAACCTACTTTACTGTTAATGTAAGTCAAAACCAGACTTTTTTTTTCCAAGTCATTTTGGGTCGTTTCTTTTGGTCCGTTCATCTTGAAATTTACACACAATGTAAAGGGCAACAGGCATTTTTAGATTATGTCAAAAACTGAAAAATGCCAGAAATTGAGATACAAGGTTTTGTTCCGACAACAGCGATTTATTTGTTGTGAATATAGAAAAATAAAATGTGCTATAACTTTTGCACAGGCCTCATTCTGTTTTTTACTTTTCTGTGTTAAATTCAGGAAATAAACAGTGATTATGCCTTGAAATTTGCCGAAAATTTGTTTTCTAAACAGTTCGCTTATTTACACTTAGAAAATCAACAACAACAACATGCCATTTGACCAGGGGCACCCAAACTTTTGCACACCCCTGTATCTGACCTGCTGGGTTTTACTTATAATGTGTATGCGATTGCAAAATGCTGGATTGCCTCAGTAACGATGCTGCCTTCATTTACTAGAGTCCCAGAATTGTGGGAAATGTATTTTTCTAGCCGTAATGGCGTTTCCTGGTCCTGCAGTCGGCTGCAGCCAGAGGAATCATTGTCATTATCTAATTGTGCCAAAATTACTTGTTGAATTGCGGTTTTCCTGTGTTTGTAGTCTCCTGGTCTCAGTTTATAGGCTTTAAAAACCAGCTGTGCTCTTTTTCCCCCCTGTTGTGTTACTCGCTCATGATTCTGGAACTTTCTGAGCGTCTGGCTTCGCTAACAGGAGCAGGTTTGGGTTCTGCACTCCATACAGATTAGATTTAATTTTTAATTTTTCTGCATAATTTAGTGGTTGAGAGACATTCGGAGTGGTTTGGTGTGAAATGTTTGATTGTAGAGACTCAGATTTCTTTACAGTGGTGGTGATAGGAACCAGGGGTCGCCATGACTACAACACAAATATAGACATTTCATTTACTATACTACACTTACTGTCGCTTTAAATTTTTTCTTTTTTTTTTCTTTTTGGCAAAATTTGAAAATGCCAGCTGCCGTGTACACTGTGTTCAAATTTCAGGATGGGCCGATAAAATAATTTAAATGGCTTAAACAATCTTTTTACATTAACTTGCATTCAAAGTTAAAGATGTTACGATTGTGTTAAAACGTCAGGATGAACAAACCAACAGAAATGATCCAGAATTACCTGGAAAAAATCGTTACATTGACTTGCAATAAGTTATCTCTCTAAATTTAGTGCATTTCACATCAAACTGATCTGAACGACTAACTCTGAATTTTGCTGAAATTTTGGAAACTCACTGGAGTTCCCCTTCAATAAAGAAGGTGAATATGTAAATACAGATTAATTTGAATGTCATATTTTTGATTTGTCTGACTGCTGAGCTCATACCTAACCCTAAAAATGACTGGATGACATCACTTCCTGTTTTCCAGAACTGGGGCCTGTAGTTTTATAGCTGAAGCAGATTTTACTGTTGGTTCTATAATTCAAGGGACGGTCCACCACTTTTCAATAATTTGGCTACTTCTTCAAAGAAAATACCCTTTTGTCTTAAAAATCACCTCAGCCTTGATGATCTTTAGAAACTGAGATACTGAGTACTGATTTCCACAAAGTGTTGGCACCCTCGTCTTCAGTGAAAATCCCCTCTATTTTCTTAATTTCCTTCTTTCCTAAGAGGACTTTTCTATGGACATTTTCTAAACCTCAAGCCACAAAATTGCCACTTTTCAGAAATGGACTTGAAACTGTTGTATTTTGTATGATCAGATTTCATTCTCAGCTCTCGGAAGTGTAAGCAGTGGGGAGCGGTGGGTGGAAAAGAAACGGTCATTTTATTTTCCTCTCAAGACTGAATGCATGTTGACATTTGCAGTGTGATTTTGAAATGTGGTGGTGTGTCTTTTTGTGTTCTGCTCAGCACAGAGTGTTTTGACCAGCAGAAAGAGGTGTGTTGGGGGGGCACGTGGTGCTGGGAACCGTCAGCTTTCTCCTCATCCAGCCCCCCCTCCCCCGCCCCTATCAGTCTCAGAGAAGACCGCCTATGACTGTGTTTCAGATTTTTAACAAAACGACTCCAAAAATGAACAAATCTCTAGAGGCATGTTTCTGATGTCCATGATTTTAAATGCTATGTTGTATCCAGAATAAATGATATTTTTAAAAGGAAAATTACACTTATCTCTCTCCTTTCATTCTTTCTTCTTATTCGCTGTATTACACAGAATAATTATAGCTTAGCTTAATAATTGGAATTGTCAAGATTTTTTTTCTTGTTATTTTTCTGTTAATTTTTTTTGTAATGGTTAACTGTTTGAAAACCATAATTTTTCGAACTAGTCTCTGGATTTTTATCTAAACTTTTTTCTGTTCTAGGAAAAACTCTGTGGCCTCTCTAGGTAAATAATTAATTGGAAAAAAACACACACACACACACACACACACACACACACATATATATATATATATATATATATATATATATATATATATATATATATATAATTTTTTTTTTTTACTCAACATGGTGTCACACTTTTAATTAATCACTGCGGCCATGGCATTGCTAGATTAAATTGCTATAACTCATCAGTCATTGGTCCGATCATCTCAAAAGTTAAAAAAAAAAAATTGTATATATTGAGACTCTGATTGGGGTCTGCGAAATTTTGTTCAGATTCGCCTTTAGGGTCATTAAAAATGCTATTACAGTGTTATTACGAAGTATACAGATAAACCATTGGTATCATTTAATTCAGTCCACTGACCTGAATTATTTTGTTAATTCATTTTGAACTGCTTGTCTGGTATTTTGGTTTATTCATTCACAGACTACGGCTTATTATATAAAGGTCAAAAGGTCAATCTGAACAAAACTTGGTGACCATCTTTGTTGAAGGTCCCTGATTAATAATCATGTCATATTAAGACATTTTGACAAATTCTGACCCACTTTCACGGAGCTCCTCTATGCCAAAATGGCCCCTTATGGGTGCATTAGGCCTCATTATGGCCTACATCAAATCAAAGGGTTAAATATGGAGAAGCAAACCAGAAATTTTGCCATTTGTCATGTAGTTTTGACATCTACATTTAAAATCTCTTGAATGTTCTACAAATCTTTGTAGATCAGTACATATGAATGTAAACATATATCCACTCTGCCTTTCATTAAGGCCCAAACAGCATTAGGCCTTGTTAGGCCTAATTGGCTTAAACTACAGAAGGGCTCATACTGCTGATGTGTGCTTGAACCCGCTCGTTACCGCCTGCGGCTGTATTTTTTCATTTGTTTTTGCGTTATTGTAGGTGAGGACCAACGAATGAAGGACTTAGAGAAGAGTATATATTTCTAGCCTTTGTCATCAGCACTGTAATAATAATCCAATTATAACCATTATTACACACTACCAAGCAAATACATGTTTTGATGAATTCCTACATGAAAATAAGTTTACTCGTCCATTACAGGCAACAAACTTAAATGTGCCATTTTTTTTGCAAATTTTCTCCAATTTCCATTCATTTGCTGTGACATGTTGGCAAAAATGTGCCATAACTTTTGCACAGGCTACATGCTTTTTTTCCAAAATGTTAAATTCAGCAAATAAATAGTAATTGTGCATTAGAATGTGCTGAAGCGTGTTCTCTGTAGAGGATGTCTTCACTTACTTTCACTTAGTGAATCAACAAAAAAGTAGAATTTGACCGGGGTGCACAAACTTTAGCACAAGCCTGTATAACACGGTCTTGCAGGTTGAGATGTGATCGAACGTCTAGATAAGAAATTTTGGACTAAATGTGAGCGAACAAACCAAGCGCATAATTTCTAAAGCAATCCATTGCCTCATGAGCTCAAAGTAGGGGGCGCCGGAGAGCTCGTCATCACTGTCCAACACAGAACAAACCTGTTAGCTTGTGGATGTAAGGTACGTTAGCGTGGCTGAAAAGACCCCCAACAAACTCCAGTTGAGGATGAAGATGTGAGTTGTGTGTGTGGAGAACAGATTACATGCAGTAAAAATATAAAAATTTCCCTAAAATCTTAAAAGAGAAAAACAGTTCCGTTAGCTAACAATAGCATTTCACTAGCGAGCTTGTTTTGCTTGTGTTATCAGTTATACTCTGGATGTTGAGCACAAACTAGCGGAATATTGGGGGCGGAGTTTAGAGGGGGAGTACCCTTGTTAGTGCCTCAATCAAACATCAAAAGTTTAAGAAGTTGTTCCCAGACGTACATATTTCTCATTACGATATCACGTCTGGCCCTTCGAGACTAAACCATTGATAGTGTGTTAAATTATAGTCAAATAGACATAATTTCTTTAAAACAGTCAGACCATCATTTATTCTTTGTTTGTTTTGTTGTTCCAACAGAAAAAAATGTATACTATAAAGACGAACTCACTTCTATCTTTTAGTTCATCTTCTAGTCTGAATTTCATCTGAACTTTTGTCTATGTTAATAGATAACAGTGTCATGAGCCCTATTGGAGCTGGATTAGTTTTCCAGAGGAGGCCTGGTAATGTAATCTGTGCATGGTTCGACTGGCTGATTGGTACGGGATAAGGATCCCCAAATTATCGGACGTTTACGTCAGCATTATGCTTGGGGCGCCACGCATCCGAATAATAAAGCATGATGTGCGGCTAAAATAGCATACAAACTAGCATTAGGCTAGTAAAGTAGGTACTTTCAACGTATGAAATGCAGCCAAACAAGACTTTCAAGGTATTTCATTTTCTTTTTCTTTGTAATTTGGTTGGTTTGGTCATTTTGTGACCAAAAATGTTGTGGATTTATTGTCATGAACTTGAAGCTAAATGAATTGGGGCTGATCAAGCTTCATTTTAGCTGTTAACCTTTTCTTCAGGGATGAAAAAAAGGAGGCGTTTTCTGTTACCTGATTTTGTTATTACGTCACTGTGATGTGGATTCGAACAGGATTGCTGTTACCGAAGGAGCTCAGAGTTCAGTGAATTTTAGACGGTTATTCACTCTGGAATTATTACTTAGCAGACGTGTGAAAACTGCAGACGTTGTCGCTAATCACTCAGATTACAGCACCTCCCCAGTAAAGGTAATCCAGCTCCAGTAGAGCTGTACAGTGACAAAAACCACATAACCAAGTCTGTTAGGTATTACTGACCAACTCCACACCGTTTAAGGCAAGTATGCGATGGTCTAGGTCTGCAGTTAGCATCATGCTAATTAGTGGGGTATACGCTTCCATTACTTAGTAGCTGCGTTAGCCTTGTAGCTCCAGCGCAAAGCTAAAGAAGCAAACTTCAAACACCAAACACGTCGTAGCTTGTCGGCTACATTTGAGGTAAGAGGTAAAATGTAAATTTTGCCAAACTATTCCTCAAAATCTTTTTCTTCTAGCATAACTGCTTAACCTGCTTCATGTCGACTAGGCATTGAAAGAGGATTAGTGACCGTAAGTGACCTCAGCATCAGGACTTTGGTTTGACCTTTGACCTAAGAGACAAGGATGGTCATAAAGCTAATCTTGCTGACCTTGGGAACGGGCTGAGTTTATCGTGTGTGTTTGCACTGTGGGATGGATATGCAGCCTACCAGGTGCCACCTGCCTGTCAGGTGGCTCGGATTTACATGCATGGGTGCTTGGGAATGTGTGCGAGTCTCAGGACATTCCTAACAATTGTGTTTTTTTCCATCACAGGTGTCTGAGGGTGACTTATTGAGCCCTGAGAGACGCGTTAAAGGCGCTGATACCAACAGCAGAACAGTGCTCAGAGCGATTTCACCACGTTTAAGTATGTCTAAAAAGAGTTTTAAAGAGTTTTAAAGCTGTAGTCCTGACTGAAAATCACAGTCCACATGTAGAGGTGTAACTAGGCTCTTAGGGCGCTGGGCCTGGGCGAAATCTAAAAATAATTAGCTATATTTTCTCGGCTACAGTTTAGTCCTGAGTCCTGTTTCTCAGCTCATGTGGTTTTTTAAAATTAGCTGTTTTTATATTTAATGAAAATCACATATTTAATACGATGTTACTGGCACAAACCATGTTTGAAAACTTTCACCACTCATTTTGAAAGATGCTGCATAGTCGCGCATTCGTGAGCTTCTGCTGGTGTGGGTTCATGGCAATTTCTGTGCTCCCCTGCTGGAGAAACGTCAGACTGCAACACATGCTCTAAATGAATGAGTTCCAAAGTCGTTATGTTGAAGGTGCTCTGGAATTAAGTTTTAGATGCTTACAGGAACCATGAAATAATATATTTTCATAATTTCATTACTCATCTGAATTATCGGGACATTGCTGAAAATCATAATAGTAATAGTAATATAGTAATCATTTGATTAATAACTGAATATGTGGTTAGCGGTTTATTCAAGGTCTCCATCAGTTCAGACTAAACCACTGACCTCTGACTAAACCTCTGACCACTTCACTCCTCCCAGAGAGAGAGAGAGAGAGAGAGAGAGAGACTGTAGGAGAGTATGTATATGAAGTGTATGCGTGTGTGTGTAGTGTGTGCAGTGTGTGTGTAGTGTGTATGAGAGAGAGAGAGAGAGACAGTCAGACGGCCATCTTGGCATCCTGCCAGAGCAAGCAGCCGCAACGTGGAGTGAATTTTAATGAGGAGAGTGAGATGAGATGAGGACAGAGTGTGTGACGGAGGGAGAGAGAAAGGCTGAGTGTGTGTGTGTGAGAGAGCGAGAGAGAGAGAGAGAGGGAGAGTGAGGCCGAGGGCAGGACTGTGTGTGTTCATAGTAAAGGAATCTGATACCTGATACTGTTTACATTATAATCAACCCCCTGACTAATTCACAAAGATGTGTGTGTGTGTGTGTGTGTGTGTGTGTGTGTGTGTGTGTGTGTGTCGGGGGGGAATAGACTGCAGAAGTCACAGTAATTTACTCAAGGACACTATTTCAATTTACCCCTCTCCCACTCTCTCTCTCTCTCTCTCTCTCTCTCTTTCTTTCTTATATATACGTATAAATATATATATATATATATATATATATATATATATATATATATATATATATATATATATCGATGTTGTTGAAGGAAAACCTTGTATCTCCATTTTTGACGTTTTTCACTTTTTGACATAATTTGAAAATACCTGTTGTTCTTTACATTGTGTGTAAATTTCATGATGAATGGACCAAAAGAAACGACCCAAAGTTACTTGGAAA